GTTTTTGTTGAATGTTTTCAAAAAAGTTTTGCTGGAGACTCGTCTTAACAACAGTTTTGTGTCTCGTGAAAAATCACGTGAACAAATAAGTCTGAAAAAGTAAAATAAAAAGTAAAGTATACCCATAATTTTCATACATATTTATATATTTAAACTTTACGATTGACGTCCATTGACTTACACTTAGCATCAGACAGGATGGGGTAATTTGTAGCGCCTCTTATAAAAAAAGTTACTGTACCTGAGATAAAGTAACTAAGGTGGTAAATTACCTCCATAACCGCAGGCTAAATGCTCAGACAACTTCGTCATCGTGTTCCTCAAAATCGTGCAAACTACTTATTTAAAAAAAACAAAACCTGCAAATCAATTACTTAGGTGAGTATTTGAAAAAAAAAGTGCGACGAAGGTCACTGAACTTGCTCCATATTATTCTTTCGCAAGCATTCTCCACAGTATGACCACCGCAGCATTTGCAAATTATGCAGTGTTCACACTCGTACCTCGCGCACTACAAAGCCGCGATTACGGACAGTGGCCGCTACGACCAGATTAATACAGCCCAGCGACAAATGCGTTTTTATGGCTTCTTCCGCCCCTCAAAGCTCGTTTTTGTTTGTAAGAAAAATATATTTATTGATTATATCTTAAGTAACATTCTTAATAGCGGAAACGGAAAGCACAGCACATATGACACGAGTGACGCATTTTACGTTACGTTGCACGCAATTTAAAAAGGAGAAATTTGAGAAAAACAGGATATTTACTGTAAATTCGGAAGACATGGCAACTCTGGATGCGGCCTGTAGCGGCAGCAGCCATGTGGCCTGTTGTATTCGCTTGCAATGTAAGCGAGCGTTCAAACACTAGCGACCAATAAGGGGTGGCCGCGGCCGCTGGTCGCCTCTGTCTGTGAGACCCTTAACTGCCGTTGCGGCCAATACACTGCATAAGCGTGTGACATGCCCCCAAACGTCGACGAATAACATCGTTTCACCAAAGTCATCCGACCGTGACGTAAGACTAACATGTCCAATCAGAACGCGGTTTACGCACCTCGCGTACTAGATCGACCGTGGCAGCAACATTGGCCTAAGGCCTAGACGCTATGGTAGGGCTGCGGCCATATTTGCGACCGCGACCACGACTGACTGTATAGCGACTACATTGCTGGTCGTTTCTTTAACTCATGAATAATTAATTGTACATCAAAACTTATTGCAGAAATAAAAACGTCGTCGTATTGAGTTGCGGAATGATACGAAACGTGTATACTCACGAACTGTCCTGTCCGCATGACACTGAGAATGGCTGGTCGCGGCCTGGCCGCATTCACGGTCGCAGATCTAGTGCTCAAGTGCATCTAAGTAACTGTAAGTCGTGCCAGCCCGATGTGTGGCCAATTGACTGGCAGCTAAGTGCGCGATTTTTATAAATACAGTTTCTTTATTAAACCTGGTAGTTGCAGCCACTGCTCGTGGTCGTGGTCATCAAGTGCGTTAGGTGCCTTACCTCCGCAGCCGCGTCGCCAAGCGCCTAAGGAGATTTCGGTCAAGAAACGCTTACTCTATGAGACTCTGCAGTGTGAACGCTGCCTTACAAATATCTACTGAAAGTAAAAATGTCAAGCTGTCACGGGCTGCCGCAGTCGGCCATTAGGAAATGCGTAAATTGGCGCGAAATCGTGACGCGAGCTATTTCACACTTGACCATTGAATTTACATTAATTTGTTAATATCACGAAATAGATTTTCATAATCTTAATCCCATTTTATATCCTAATACTAAATTACAGGGAGAACTTTCACAATGGACTGTCATTGGATGGGTGAGCATATTATCTCGAGCTCCTCGGTGCTTCGAAACACAGAACACTGAAAAGGGTTAGAAAGGTCTTGTGGACGGGGTTACCACAGTTATGTGTGAGCAAATGCTCATAGCTTGACCAAAAGTTGGTTCTGGTTGCGTCGTTGCTCTCGGGTGTAAGCACTGATTAGTTTTATACTTTTACTAGCGGCGCCCGCCTTCGCTTCGCTTCGGTGTAGAGCTGAAGTGTAGACTACAGTTTTTGTTCTCAGGCTTGTATTAGACGTCCAGTGGTTTGGGCTGTGCGTTGATAGATCACTATGTCAGTCAGTCACCTTTGAGTTTTATATAGTTTGATGTCGCGTCGTTTGACTGGCTTTTATGTGTTAGGTGGAAGTTTAGTGGGGGCGAACGGTCTATAATCATTCTTCTAACCTTTTCTGTGTTCTGTGCTTCAGATGGTTCAGCATGCACCTATTGGGCCCGGCGGGGCGGATAATGGCCCCCACATGATTCAAGGCCCATTCTCCTTATACCATCTATAGGGGAGGCCTATATCCAAGCAGTGTGGACATTCTGATGATGATAAAATCTGTAGCTGTAATTGCACCGCCTGAAAAGGTGTTTTTAAAAGACGCCACAAAATAAACGCAATTTCGAAAGAATATATATCATTTGTAGATATTTTATATGCTAATAGCAATGATATACGACCATCATCATCATCAGCCTGTTAATGTCCCCACTGCAGGGCCACACACACTCCCTATGGATGGAATAGGGAGATTGGGTAGTGACCAGGGTCAGTGGCGGACTAAGCCCGTCAGAGGCCCGGGGCGGCAAAACTGAATGAGGCCCCAGCTTTAAAAAAATGTACATTCTTATGTTTATTTCGTTAAAACCAGTCTTGTCCAATTTAGCATAACTTTGTATCAGATTGTCAACTGCTACAGCCAGAGCGTCATCTGAAGCTCCTAGCATAAACTTTGTTTCAATAATTTGGAAAATATTTTTGATTTGTTTAATAGCCCAATTCGAAAATTCTTGTATAAAGCGGTCTATGCATTCATACATTGACCGACGTATTTCTTCTTGAATTGATAATCCAGCATCATGAGCTGATTCACCCGGTATCGTTCTTTTTACCTTCACTTTTCCTGGTTTCTTTAAAGTCTTGTTTAGGATTTGATCAGGGTAAGGCGGAGGTATTTGGGGCCGCCGCCCCTTCCGCCCCCCTGTTAGTCCGCCACTGACCAGGGTTGCCAGGTGTTTTCCAAATATATACCGAACAGTGAGCAAGAAAAAAACAGTTTAATCATTATTTATTAAATACATAGTACCATTGCACAAGATTAACTAGCTAACCTAAATTATAAAAATTGTCTTTTTTTTCTCACTAATGCACGCTTCTAGCAATGTCTTATTTTCTTTAACTGTCCCATGCATTTCACGACATATCAGATTATAATTGCATCATTTACATAATTTAGCCTTCACCATGTCCACACTTAATTTATTACGGCTGTCAGTAAAGAAATGATTCATATAGCTAAATACCCTTTCCACATAAGCATTACTACATGGTACTGCCATCCACATGCACGATCTACAATCCACGAAATGGCTCAAAAACAGTGAACGCGTGTACGAAGAGGCAATATAGCACAAACTAACTTTGACTGCCGATTGCGTTAAATCTGATAGTTGAATCGTATATAAGGGAGTAAAATTAATCAGAAAAAAATATACCGAAACGATTTTTTTTTTCATACTTATATTGTATGTATTTTTGTCATACCAAACACCGAACACGGTTCTAATATACCGAACGATTCGGTAGATTACCGAACACCTGGCAACACTGGTAGTGACCCACCACGCTGGCCTAATGTGCATTGGTGGGTACTAACGACTGCAGATGCAGCCGAGACCAACGGCTTAACGTGCCTTACGAAGCACGGAGGAGTTCGAGATAATAAGTTTTTGGTCACCCATCCAATGATCGACCATTGCGAAAGTTGCTTAACTTCTACGATCGCAGCTCCTCAATACGATACAATAGATAAAATATAGATACGAACATGATATACAAGTGAAGACAATCTCAATAACCTTTCCAGTTTAATAACAATGTCATTTTAATGAATATGAACGAACTCACGCGCACGCAAATGGAGCCAATTAAATAATTACCTACTTTTTTGCCAAACATCATTTCAATCATAATATGGTGATAGGATAATACATGAAACATTGTAATATGAACTCTATTTTGTGCTTCGTTGTATTTGCTATCGACTTGTATTAGGTACAATGATTTTGTACAAAACTCCATAGTAACTGGGTAAATGAAAATTATCTTAGAATAAAGGACAATGGGCAAAACGCACCCAGCCATTTATTTTAGCAAAGATCACTTTAATGTAGGTACTCATTGAATAATAATTATAGTTTATAAATTCAATTTTTAAGGTTATGAATGTACCTACTAAGTCAAAGAGTTTTGTCGTTTCTGCCAACAAAACCAAGAATCGAAAAAATTTCTACAAGAAGTAAGAGTTTTTAGATATATTTTAGTCCGACGAAAGACACCACAGTAACACGACAATGACGTTTAGTTGTTTACTAACACATTTACTAATTTGTTGACTTCACAATCATGGTGGACAGCGTCTTGAGTGTTTAAAAAGCATAGACTAAAAAACCATTTTACAAATTAAATTACTACAGCCATCTTATAATTTTATGAAGTGAAATCGATGTATTTAGGTTCCTCACACCAAACATTATAAGAAATAAACAGTTGTATAGTGCAATTCGACATGAGTCAACTAGCCTATTAGTGGGTGCTACAGACTGCTGATGCAGCCGGGACCAATGGCTTAATGTGCCTTTAGAAACGCGAGGACCTCGAGGGATATCATAATTTTTTATGGCTTATTCTATGACCAGCCATTGCAAAAGTAGATAAAGACTACCGCAACCGCAGATCGAACGCTCTAAATTCAATCTGCAATCGAGCTCACAAGAAAAATTTAGTATACTTAAAATAATCCAAAGAATAAGTTATATTTAGATACCATGGACTTGTTATATAGATACAGTATTGTTTTGAGAAGTAATAATCTCATTGCCGTATCTATCTATGGCTCCTTACTAAATATTGACAGAGAATAGAAGATAAAAATTCTCTATGACAGAGTAATACTATCAAATTTCTATGGACAAATTCTAAATTATTTTTGTTTGTGCTCCGTTTTTAGTATTTTTATTTAAGATTTTTCTAGATAATAATGTAAGTACCGAATATCTTATTCTTAAATTCTAATCCTTCATTTCACTGTTAGTAAAAACTGCTCAACACTAGCGACTCTTGGTTCTTTGGATGGGCTTCAGAAGAAGTGTTAAGGTTGTACAACTGACAATGAAGAAAGCGATGCTTCCATTTCCCTGCGCGATGGAATTCGTAAATTAGAAAATCCACAGAAGAACTACAGTGCCCAATATCGCTCGAAGAATTGTTCAGCTGAAGTGGTAGTGGGCGGGTCACGTAGCGAGTAAAACCGATGACCGTTGGTGCGGAAAGGTTCTCGAGTGGCGACCAGCATCGGACGACGCTCACTGGGCATGCGCTCCAACAGGTGGACCGACGATCTATTAAAGGTCGTGGGAAACCTCTAGGTGCAGACACCCTCAGGTTCGAGTGGTCTAGTGGCTCTAGACGCAGAGGAGACACCCCCGTGGGGAGATGCCTTCCGCTCGCAAAATCTCGGCTTGAGGTCCCCTTAGGATCTCGCCGTCCCCAAACCCAATGACGCTGTTAAGGTCATTTGCGACCAACAGCATACACACTCAAAAAAAACAATAGGGATAGCTGAGACAGTTTACACTGTGTGGATATCTTTGGGAAGGCCTATGTTCTACATTAGGCGTCGTATTGCTGGGCGATGAAGATGATGGGAATACCGTTTGCTGCAAGGATTTTCTTTCACCCTTCTGACTCCTCCCACATAGATAAGCTGATGATGAAGTTTTCCTTAACGGAGTCCTTAGAAATTCCTTAACGGATCGTCATTTAAATATTTAGGATATACAGCCTTTTATACGAGCTCCAGCAAATAACCTCATTTGATGTTAAGTGTGAGTGACCCCGGTGGCGGAGATAGCTGATGCGGCAGTAAAGTGTACCTTTTTCTATATAGCCATGTAGGCAAATGACTCTACCCCACCTGATGTTAAGTGGTGATAAAGTCCAGACGTGAAGACAGTCGGTACAGCAGTAACATAGTTTTTAAGGTACATTGTTACTAACATTTTATGGACTTAAATTGTCTGAGAATAAATTATTATTATTATTATTATTATTATTATTATAAATGCTTTTTCACGCCTCTCCTTTAGGACCCCAGATTGTAGGAAGGGGGTAACACGTAAGCAGGCAATGAATTCCACTTGTGAATAGTACGACACGCAGTCGACAGAGGAGTTCGATGGCGCTGGTGATTAGCGCGTTGGGCTGCGATCGTTGAAGTTAAGCAACTTTCGCAGTGGTCGTTCATGCGACCAAAAATCTATCTCGAGTTTCTCCGTGCTTCGGAAGGCACTGCAGTCATTAGCACCCGCTAATCCGCACTGGGCCCGCATGGTGGGTCATGACCCAATCTCCCTATTCCATCCATAAGGAAGGCCTGTGCCTGATGGTGATGATGATAATAGTACGACAAGGAAATGTGTCACCAAATTTCTTTGTTCGTGTAAGAAAAGTGGCCATAGTAAGTTGGACCTGAACTTAATCCTCTAATGCTGCGATCCCACTTAATCTCGGAATAGTTCTGAACGAGAAAACTCGGTAATGGAAACAGAGATCAGAGCGAGTGAGCGAGTTCGTACAACGATAATTGACTGGACTAAGGTAACGAATGCTTTCTTGTTTCGTCATCGATGGCATAATGGTTATGTGAATGAATTGAATATTGGATATGTGGATGAATTTATTTAATATACTTACAATTAAATTGATTAATACTTACATAATGGACGAATGGACATTATGTTGAATTGTTCTGCGCAAATTATATTTGTATGCCAACTTGGGCTGATCACGGCTGCACAATTTAACACACATGTATCTTTTTTTAACCCGTATATCACAAATAAAGTATTTGATTGATTGATAGATTAATGTTTACCGATCGAACAAATGTTTGCTCGCTCAGAACTGTTCTGAGCACTAGTATTACGTCTTTCTAGTGCTCTAATTTGAGCTAGAAATCCGCTGTGTACTATTCTTTTTAAATCTTCTTGCAGGTCAGCACCTCATAGTGACAATTGGCAGGGCTGCGATCGCCCCGACATTTGTTACTCATCGTTGAGACTTCTCAAACAAACGGTAATATTTATTTATCCAAAGCTGGCTGTGACTTTTCAGTTTTAAATTCACAGCTAAAAGTTTTATGGCCCTGCGTCCACTACAAGCATTACTTGGACGTCAACAAGAACGAGATGACGGCGCCGAGGTAATCTATACATATAATAAAATGGTAGGAAAGTCAAAACTGTACATTGAATATTTTTTTTTAAAGAATACTTGGGGTATGATCTACAAAAGATACCGAAGCCAAAAATATAGTTTTAGAATTTTTGTCTGTTACTCTATTTGTCTGTATGTATGTCCGGGATAAACTCAAAAAGTACTGCATGGATTTACTTCAAATTTGGCACGAATATTATTAAGAAGTCGGGTCAACATATAGGCTACATATTATCACGCTATCACCTACGGGGAACGAGTGAACCTTTATTTCTAACTAACTCCACGCGTACGAAGTAGCGGGCGGCCGTTAGTAATAAATACATTTACTGTAGACTCTTGTCCACGGCAAGACCGTTACGTCATCTTGATCTTATACTGAAATAATGTCGTCCTCGGTGACGGGGGCTGTGAACAAAGGGCCTAAGTTTAAGAGCTACTGAAGGACGATCGCGTTAATATCAAACGTCTGAAACGTATTGAACCGTAAACAAACCGCAACTTTTTATGACATTTCGTATTGCACTAAAGTTTTGACAGCTAGTTGAGATGTAAACCTATCACGTTTACCGTACTCCAGTGAACTTCAGTCAAAAATACAAAGAAGATTTCAGTTGCCCGTTGAAAATTAGCGCGATAGCGATTTCTTATAAAGTTGAGTTGCAATTAGAATAGGAGTGATGACGGGGTACAGTAAACGAAATTCTATTTAGTTCGTCAGTTAGATGATCAAAAAATAATGGACACGTATTTTTTCTTTGGGCAATCAACCAAAAAATGACAAAGTTATAGCGCGTCAAATTTTGGGAGTAGAGGCTCGTGACGTCACTTTTGAGTGATTTTTCACATAAAAGTGTACGTATTTGTCACGTTTGAGTACTCAAACGTGACGTCATGCGACTCTTGAAATCAATATATCTCTGCAATGTTTATATTATGTAAAAAAAAATACGTGTCCAATACTTTTTGATAATCTACCTGATAAACGAAGAAAAAAAAATTAGTCATCATCCCTATTGAACTAAGATTGAACGATAATTGAACTCTTGCGGATCGTTCAAAACGATAAATAGAGCGATTGGCCTGCTGAATTGTAATCGTCATTAACAGTCATAAAAGCAGAGACATGTATTAATTAGACATTGTGGATTACCTACAATGCGAAGAGATGGCGCTGCCTTGCAGCTTAAGAAAGGTTAGAAAGAATTCGACACGGCCACCGGGGCCGCGCTAGCGTAATGGTCAGTACATTCGCCTGGATAGCGAAGGGTGCGGGTTCGAGTCCCGTCTACTGCTTTGTCCGCGTGGAATTTTATCTAGTAAACGTTGAGCAGTTAATGGCTTAAAAAATGTGTTAATTATTTAACGAAATTGCATAAACAAAATCTTAGAGATTCGAACGGGACCTAGCTAAAATTCCGTGGCCGCGATGTGTGTATGGCCTAGGTGTAACTTTTTTTGGGAAACCAAACCAAAACTAAGGAATAGTGCCAATGTTACTTACCTAGGGCCGGATCTAGAGGTATGGAGGCCCTGCCATTTGCTGTTGGTTCACGCTGCATCTGCCGTCGTTAGCACCATAGAGCACCCCCATGGGGTGCTCCGTGGTTAACGCCCACCAATCCGCACGGGGCCCGATCGGTGGGTCATGGCCCAATCTCCCTATTACTCTCTAAATATTGACATTGACATTGGAGTAAATTTCATTATATCATCATCATCATCATCGACCCATGCTCATCCACTGCTGGACATAGGTCTCTCCTAATGCACACCACTGCTCCCAATTTTCTGCCACTCTCATCCAGCCCACTCCAGCCAGCCTACGAATGTCATCATCCCATCTTGCCTCAGGGCGTCCCACACTACGTTTACCGAGTCGCGGTCTCCACTCGAGAAGAATTTCATTATATATATTAATTCAATTTTGATTTTATTGTAATGTTTAATTTGTATTTAATTTATAATTTTAATTAATGTGACCTGCTGATGTGTTGGACCTAGTTCTGTAAGTCAGTATGTATCTTGAATAAATATATAAATTCCATCCCCAGGAAAGGCCTGCGCCCTAGCAGTAAGATAGGTAGGGCATAACGGATTTTCTGCTCGAATTGCAGTACCAGTCTGCGAAAGTTACCACTCCCTTACAGACCATAGTAAAATATGAGTAAGGTTTCTAGTCTCCACGGGTTAGAGGATTGAGTCAGGTTAGTTAACGGCGGGAGTGATTATTTTGTATTGCAAACGTCTAAAGGTTATGGTGGCCGCTTACCATCAGGGGCCATATGTTTTCTTACCACCCTTTTAAATAAAAGTAAGTTTTTTTTGTTTGCTCCCAGGCGAGGGAGCGGGTGAGAAATCCTCATGGATACCCTACAGCCAGCTGCAAGGTTATGTCAGACTCGCACTGACTAAAAAACACCCGTAGGGGCTGCCTCTGGCCGGGGAGTCCTCTTCATCGGAAGCGATCGTCCCCCAGGGGGTGGAGCGACGCAGCGCTGCTTTAGTTAGATACTAGAGCATATGCGCGAGAAGGACGGTGCGGCCTCCTAGTGAGGCACGCCCGTATCGGACAGAAGAGAAAGAAAATTGGCAGGCTTATAACGTGTTATTTTTCTCTCTCAGTATGCCCCACTACCACCAAACTAATCGAGGATGAAGGACACAAACCAGGGGATGGTAGCCATCATCCAAGGGCTGCAGGACGCAGGTCTGGCTGTCACGTTGATAGGTCGTCGGATCGGCAACGGTGTTAAAACTTCTGGTAAGTATACTGGGAACTTTAGAAGAATAAGTTACCAGGGTTGTATGTATGCTGCGAAAGAAAAGGTTACCACCAAGGTTGTATTTAGCTTGGGCCCAAGAGGGCCACGTTTCGGGGCGATTGCAAGAGCTGCGAGGGGTGGCCGAAGCTAGCCTGGTTGAAGATATAAAGACATTTGTTGCTTCACTATATTTCGATTTGATTTACCAATTCTAGGGAGGGGAGTAGTGCAAATCGTAATTGGCCCGAGGCGCCAGGTTTTGAAATACGCCCCTATGAGCCTCGATAAACCTACGTCCATGTGGTACTACCTACCTACTAACCACATTTTAATCTCTTATACACAATCCCGAGGAGCTCGATGACGCCGGTGGTTAGCGCGGGCGATCAGCGATCGTAGAAGATATGCAATGGTCTATCATTGGTTGGGTGACCAAAAACTTAGTATCTCGAGCTCCTTCGTGCTTCGGAAGGCACGTTAATCTGTAGTCGTTAGCACCCACCAATCCGCACTGGGCCCGCGTGGTGGTGGTGTGGTCACAATCTCCGTATTCCTTACATAGGGAAGGCCTGGTCCAGCGGGGGCATTAATAGGCTAGTGATGATGATGACGCACAATCCCTGTATTTATGCCATCAAACACAAGATAGATAATTCTACACGCGCTTACATTCATGTTTTTTGTAGGTACAATAACCAGCGATTACTTCTTGATATTTAAATATGAGTCAGCGGATTAGTCCGGTTGTGAAAATAGATGATACGAGCTAGCCCGAATCTTAACTAATTCATTTCCTCGTGGTAGAATTCGCTAGCAACCTTCACAGAAACAGAACACTAGAGTTATGGCTTGTGCAGAAGAGAGATATTTGTCCGCGAACTTTTAGGTCTGCAAAAATAGATAGCTTACAACTGCATCGATTAACATTCGAGGAATTAAAAAGGACCCTGCACAACCGAGGACAGCGAGAGACCAGACAGAAAAAGTACGCGGGAGTCCCCAACCCTGAGGTGTCGGTTCGATTGGTCTAGAGGTTCCAGACGGAGAGGAGACTCCCCCGCCATCCGCCTGGAATATCTCTAGAGGCACTCGCCAATTCTCGGCTTGAGGACCCTTAGGATCTCGCCGTTCCCAAACCCGGTGACGCTGTAAAGGTCATCTGCGACAAACAGCACACACACTCAAAAAAAAAGCGGGAGTCCCGGAAAAAGAAAGAACTCATGTGACTAGGCGTAGCAACGCACTCAGCGAACGTTGGTCTGCCTTGCGCCCTCGATCCGATTTAAAGAGGTGGACTTAGTATACCCCTACTAAAACATCTTCTCTTTTTCTTAAACTTGATGTTCATTACAGCACAACGTAATCTGGGAATATTTACTTCCATAGCGTATGCTTCCCCAAATATTGGGGCAACAAATGTTTGCACATTGTGCGCGTTCAGTCCGTGATAAGTCCTCGCCAGAAATTTTAAGGAAATTCTATGCTCCGGGAACAAAAATCCCTCGTCTGCGCATCAGGCCATAAGTGTTATGTCAGTGTTGTCTTCTGTAAAGTCCATTCGAGTGGAAATCCATTATTCCCTACTGCTTTTGTGTGGCTTGTGTTTTCAGAACTCCACGGGCTATTGCATATCATACAAGGGCGGATCCAGGGGGGCTCCCCCCCCCCCCTGGGCTGGGTCCATATGTACCCACTTCACAATCTGTACCCACTGTGATTTGACCACGACTATACGACCCCCCCTGGCGCCAAAGCTGGATCCGCCCTTGACATCATATTCAATAAGTTACAAAGCTTAGAATATTCCAGCTATCCACGGCAACCTTCCTTACGCCAAGTCCTCAGTGGAGACGCAATCATCTTACCATCCGTCTGCGAACACAAACAATACATCTCAACTGTGTGATGACCGCTACATAAGCAGCTATCAGGTGTGTAATCCAGTTTTTAAAGTTAAACTTTTATAACATCGGAACAATTTTTTTTCGTTCATGTGGCCCAATACCATTAGCACGTCGCATTACATTTTTATAGTTATTAAAAAATTCAGAACTTGTCAACAAACATCGATGGTTCAGATTAATAATGATTTTAAAAGTTTTACTTTCATCATTGTGTCATAAAACTATTCCAATTTTGATTCGCGAAGTAGTGTCGTTGCTATAGCTAAAAGAGTGGAGTACCACCAAAAACCGTTCTTTGCCTTAATTTTTTTTTGATGTTTAACATCCCTCTAATGGAAAGAGAAAGAAGATGAGAGACTGCTAGCTTTTTCTCTCTAATCGCGCATGCGCATTGGCAACCGTAAGCATCGTACTATTTCGATGTGATGCCATTGGATGCCATGCGTCACAAGAGCGAGATCGCTAGCCGTCTCTCATCTTCTTTCTCCTTCTACTAGACGGACTCTTTTAGAGCCGCCTTCCCCAATCTATTCTTATACCTCCATGCTTAAAATACCTAAGATAAATTGTTGCAGATATATATATTAAAATCTTATGTTTATGCAGCGATTTTTTGATGTGTAACATCTTTCCTCTCGCTTTCCTGCAATTTGTGGGAGTGATGTCGTGAAATGGGACGGAAGTGTGTAACAGGAAGTCGCGAAACGCGCACTATTTGATTTGATTTTAGAACGTAATGTTCAAATGGCTTATTCCTTTTGTAGTAGGTTTTATTTCTTTTTTTACTAATATAAGGTGAGGTTTCAAATGTTACACATCATACGCGACCACTGTAAGGGTCGCTCGTTTTTTTTTTAAATTCTAACGAACTGCTCTCCTAAGCCTGCTACCGAGTTTAAATGGAATCAAATTGAGAAGATATATTAATAAAAAAAGCGTTACTAGATCAACAGCCAGTATCATACTCGGATATCTCAAGACATACGAGTACCTACATAGGACATACTAAAAGAAATGAACATCATCATCACCCTCTGTCAATAAATATGTGATAAATTAATTCTTATCGATCAACAAAGTTAAAAAAAACGTAAATAAAAACGTTTATTTCTACAAATTAATAAATGGGTAAGAACTGAGAATCAGTGATTTAGTGTCGCCGCACACGGGCCACCTACCACAACCACAAAACGCCGCCAACGGCATATTTCTTGTAGTTTTCATACATTTTATATGGACTCGCCACACACGGTACGCCGCCGCCGGTGGCCGACACACGCTACAAATCGTCGTTGCTCGCTTCTTGTGGCCCGCACCGGCCACTTCATGCGCCGATACAAAACGCCGCCACACGTCACTCGCGCGATTCCCCACCCCTCTCTCCCTTACCTTAGTCGGCCGCTGTCGCGCGCTTCAGCCACTTTAGTAGCCGCTTCTAGCTTGTGGCGGCGTTTGTGGCTGTAGCGTGTGGCCCGTGTGCGGCGTCACTTACTCTCTGAGTAAATGTTTCGCTGAGTTTTCGCCCATTCGCATCGCTGCTGCACAAGAAAATATCATAGTATAGTTGTTTTAATAAAATTTGTTGACTGTTCTAAAGGATTGTTCTAATTATAAGATTTGTCTTGGCAATTTTGTATGTGTGCATATTGGTACTAATAAAGTCTTATCTATCTATCTATGTAAGTCTAAAAAGAGTTTTATCATTGTCATATTACACGAGGACTATAGAAATACAGTTGTTATGTGTGAGTTCGTTCCAGGTGGCACATTGCAATGCGAAGCCGATATCTTCAGAACCAAATTCGCCAGAGTTTCCGAGACAGAGGGACGAAGCCAGCACCAGTTAGTATCGCCGCACACGATCCAACGACCACAATCACAAAACGCTCCACCGGCATATTTCTTGTAGTTTTCGTACATTTTATATGGACTCACCGCACACGGTACGCCGGTGGCCGCCACGCACTACTAATCGTCGATGTGGCCCGCACCGGCCACTCAATACGCCCATACAAAACGCCGCCACACGCCACTCGCGCGATTCCCCACCCCTCTCTCCCTCACCTTAGTTAACGTGTAACAGCCAGCGACGGCAAGTGTCGACCACCGGCCACAACTGGCTGTCGCGCGCTTCAGCCACTTTAGTAGCCGCTTCTAGCTTCTCGTGGCGGCGTTTGTGGCTGTGGCGTGTGGCCCGTGTGCGGTGACACTTAGTGTCCAACTTTACAGAGTATCAATAAAGTAAATTGGGAATCTATTAGGAATCTTAGGATTCAAAACGCAGATAGGCTTCCAGTAAGACGAAATCTTACAACAGCTTTATTAGTGACCTCAATTTTGGAAACAAGCATACACTTCGGACCAGGCAGCGGACGGGACTCGAACCCGCATCCTTCGCAATCCGGGCGAATGCACTGACCATTATGCTACCACGGCCCTATTCGCCGCGTCGAAATTTTCCTAGTCTTAAGCTGCAAAGCAGCGCCATCTCTTCGCCCGTCCGCTGCCTGGTCCGCGTGGATTTTTTTCTAGTAAACTTTTCTTTAGATTTAAACATCTAGCAGTTAAATGCTTAAAAAAAAACATAAGCATACACTTTTTTATGAGTGGCAAACAAAGCACATTAATAAGGCCACCAAATGATGATCAGCTTCAGTAGCTTATAAATGCTTACGATACCTGGATACCTGGGCATCGCTCGCTGTTGTCTACTCTGACGCCATAATCTTATCGTGGAATCCTGGAAGTTCAACCAAAAGGTAATGTAACTTCACCAGGCTGTTCTGTCTAATTCGAGCGGGAATTCCCCTACGCCATAACTCTTTATTAAAGTATTTATATGGACATAATCACGTAAAATGAGGGTGCTAACGACTCGAATTACAATACCAACGCCTTAGCAATCCTTCTGGCTGCACTAGCCTAACAGCTCTACCTTTTGATTTACTTGAGATGCGAAATCTTTAATAAGCTATAGCTATAGGAACAATAGAATCGAAAATATCTAGAATATAATTTCTATTTCTGGACAGGCAATACTGGTGGGTCTAGGTGTCTAGAAAACAAATTAAAGCGTTTTCTTATAGGCTAATGAGGAAAATTGGATTGATCTTTTTCAGCTGAAGGTAATTTCGCGATTGGCACTCGTGAAAATTTCAGCAATCATGCGCCGATTAAAATCAGCTTCCACCAAAGGAACATATATCGAAGCCCGCAAAGAGGTAAGTTCTGAAAAGATGTGATTGCAAGTATTTAGTATATAGGAGGAGCTCGATGGCGCAGATGGTTAGGGCATTCGGCCTACGATAATGAAAGTTAAGGAACTTTCGCAATGGTCGATCACTGGATGGGTAATCAAAAACTTACTATCTCGAGCTCCTCCGTGCTCCGTGCTTCTGCAGTCGTAAGCACCCACTAATCCATCCAATTCCATCCATACGGTAGGCCTGTGCTCCAGCAGTGGGTACATTAATAGATCCTATTCATCTGATGATGATTATTATTATATAACCCTTTTTAACTCCGCCTCTGATTCTCCCGGTGACTCATATTAAGGTTTTCATTAAATGAAATTTCTATTATCTTAATTATATTGTTCTATGTTTCAGAATTATCTACACAATTGTCGAGAGAAACAGAAGCTTTCGTTAACTCCTTGAGAAAATACCCGAGCGTGTCTCCCGAAAGGCATCTATCTTCGGAATTCCTACAACGACTCATAACATACACTCAAGGTAAAAAATGTGAGTAGTTAGGCCGTATGCACGTAGACAGTAGGCTACCAAAGCTGATTTACCAGCGCTTAACATCGCTATTGTATCTATGTTTATGTATAAATTAATTCTATGCTATTCTATTCCATTATTTTATATTCTAATAAATTATACATATTATATTATATATTCTATTCTATTCTTATCGGTGCTGGTCCGTTCAGATATCCTCGACATAAAGCAAGCGTGGCGTGCAAAATATCGAGCTCACCAGAGGAAGCTTTCTTGTGACGTGCAAAATGTCGAGCTCACCGGACGATGCATTCTTATGACATGCAAAATGTCGAGCTCACCAGACGATGCTTTCTTATGATGTGCAAAATGTCGAGCTCACCAGACGAAGCATTCTTATGACGTGCAAAATGTCGAGCATAACAGACGATACTTTCTTATGACGTGCAAAATGTCGAGCTCACCAGACGATGCTTTCTTATGATGTGCAAAATGTCGAGCTCACCAGACGAAGCTTTTTTATGACCTGCAAAATATCGAACTCACCAAACTATACTTTTTTATGACGTGCAAAATGTCGAGCTTAACAGACAAAGCTTTCTCATGCCGTGTAAAATGTCGAGCTCACCAGACGAAACTTTCTTATGACCTGCAAAATGTCGAGCTCACCAGACGAAGCTTTTTTATGACCTGCAAAATATCGAACTCACCAAACTATACTTTTTTATGACGTGCAAAATGTCGAGCTTAACAGACAAAGCTTTCTCATGCCGTGTAAAATGTCGAGCTCACCAGACGAAACTTTCTTATGACCTGCAAAATGTCGAACTCAACAGACAAAGCTTTCTTATGACGTGCAAAATGTCGAGCTCATCAGACGAAGCTTTCTTGTGACATGCAAAATAACTCGCCGCTGGCCGAATGCACCACGCAATTACCTGCGTCATGAGGGTTTGTTCACGGCAAGCCAACGCCACGTTGGATATAATTCATTTTTTCTCCCCGTCATCGAAAAAAATAAAAAGGGTAAATACTCCCCTGGTAGTACGTAAATGTCGCAACTTTACCTTAATGCTTATAAGCACTTTGCACAAATCATTATGATTACGCTACGCAATAAATTGGGTATTTTTCAAAGGTCAGAAATAGTTGTCCGGTTTAAGTTTATCGTTTTCACTTTCAGTCTCAAAGAGTTCAACCCGTTCAAGGATAACGCGTAAACTTCGAAGCAAAATTCTCGCGGAGACTTCAAAAGATGGCGTCAGATCAGTTAAACCATCCAAAAGCGTTCAGACTTACACTCGATTACTGTCTAAAACAAGGGACAAGGAAAATACTGATACTAGAAGATCCAGAAGGTATATAGACCATCATCATCATCAGCCTATTAATGTCCCCACTTCTGGGGAACAGGCCTTCCCGATGGATGGAATAGAGAGATTGGGCCTTGACCCACAATGCGAGCCCAGTGCAGTTTGGCGGGTGCTAACGACTGATGCAGCCGGAACCAATTGCTTAACGTGCCTTCCGAAGCACGGAATAACTCGAGATATAAAATTTTTGGTCACCCATCCAATGATCGACCACTGCGAAAGTTGCTTAACTTCAAAGATCGCAGCCGCACGCGCTAATCACCCGCGCCATCGAGCTCCTCGCCATATAGACCATACGTATCACTAATTCATATATCGCCATTCCCTTCACTGTGTTCATTGAAAAAAATATCGTTAATTTAATCACATGTTCACACCGGTTCCGAAAACAGGGCTGCACGGCATACTCCGTCTTTAACTTTCATACACTTTTAAATCTCTGTTCTTTAGTCTGTATTCTATAATTATATGTGTATATTTTTTAACACTCACACCAATTAGCCTAACCCCAAAGTAAGCACTATAAGGCTTGTGTTGTACTAGGGTAACGGATAGAATACATATACTGTACATATATAAGTATATTTTTATAAAATACATATTAAACATCCATGACTGGAGTTTAAACGCTTGTATTCATCACACAAACATCTGCCCCAACTGGGATCGAACCCGGGACCTCTCGAGTCGGCGACACCATTAAACCCGGCGTACAAACCACTCGGCCACGGAGGTCGTTATATAACTCCCTAATGACTTTTCTATGCAGATAACAGCTGCCGCATTCTAAGGATTCCGTAGACCTGATAAAGGACCCTTAAGGCGCTATCCCACGATCTGTGTTATCGCGGTCGAGGCCGCGCCGCGTAGGGTTACCAAACGTATGAGAATTCTAACGTTCGAGATTAAGCAGTATCTATACATGATACAAGGTGATGATACGAATAAGGATTCATTTAGTGATGGTATAATGAATCTGTACTTACTCAGGCCATCCTTTGTGGACTGGACATTTATTTACTTTGTGATAATATTTTTGGTTTGTGTACATGACACAAACAGTCAACATTGTTCAAATCTCATATCAAAGTGTACGAGATATCTATTTACCTCGTATCATGCATAGATACTGGATCGATTCTGGCGTGATTCTCTAAACTTAAAACTAAATTTAACATCAGCCTCTCCTTTTCATTCTGTATAGAGAATGACAAGGATACACTGTTGTCAAATTAAAGTTTAGGTTTAGAGAATCGTGCCATAATCGACACCACTGCTATATCTCGAACGTTAGAATTCTCATGCTTTTGACAACGCTGCGTGGCGCGGCCTCGCCCGCGAGAACACAGATTGTGGGACAGCTCCTTTATAGTTTCGTTATGTCCGTCTGTCCCCGGTTTTGATTGGAGACTGTTAGCACTAGAGAGCTGTAATTTTTCAGCTCCGATGGTGTAGGATTTAAATAAAAAGAAGAACACTTATTCGTCTCCGCTTATTAAGCGACAGTCATCACATCATTAGCTCAACTTTGTCATAACCCTCTTCCAAGAGTCCTATCATCCCTATTTCTTTAACTTTCTGATCCCCTCGAAACGAAGAATTATGACTAGGGCCAAAGACGTTCACATCAGCACGACCTACAACTATTTGGGGACTCCCCGGCGATTCGGTGCTAGAGCAACCGATGTGCGGTACTTGAGCGACGTAACCAGATGCCTGAGAGACACTCTGAGGCAGTTCTGCGATGATCAGACGCAGGTGAGTGAAGGATATACGTAATTGTACATGGTAACAATCCCGTTAATAGCTATAATCTTTTTCCGCTCTTTGATGACTGTTGTTAGTTGACTTTGCTGTATGATTTTGAGAGCCTCGGAAGTCTAATAGCGCGATTTATGCGTGACCATTATTTGCTTTTTGTTTCCTCCCAGGCGGGGTAGCAGTTATGAAATCCTCATAGATACCCTACAGCCGGCTGTAGGGTTATATCAAACTCTTACTGACTAAAACACACCCGTGAGGGATGCCTATGGCCATAGGGGCCTTACAGTTTTCATCTGATGCGATCAATCCCAGAGAAGGGAATACTGAAAGGGGACCCCGCGGTTTTGAACTAAGCAACTTCGAGGGTATTCCCAGGGTTTTTTAGCGGATATTATGCCGTAAAGCGCCCGCAAGAGTTACTCCTCAGTGTGCAGCCACTGCGGGGGCTCGTAAGGCTTGCGGGAGCCAGGTGTGAGGTCCGTTCGGCGGTGTGCCTCTTAAAGGCGCCGTCGTCTGTAACTAGAGGCCTGCATCCCAAAAAAAAGGGATCATCATTCATCACTCGAGCAATACCAGTGCTTCGTTAAGTTAAATCTGTGGCTTAAAGATGTCACTGCTACAGAATCATTATGTTCAAACTCGCAGACCGTGTTCCAGGTGTGTCCCAGCGTACAAAGCCGGTACAGCCGTCACAGAAGGGAACATCACCATGATTACATGGAACCGCGGTCGGTAAGGTCCCCTTATTTTCATATTGGCACAGTTTCGTACTTGAAAGGTTCTTAATACACTTCCAGGTCCATTTATTGGCCCACCCAGCGTTACAAACTTCAACGGTTTATAGCAATAATATATTTCACTTCAGATGTGTGGTCCGTGCACACCAATTTATTATAAAAAAAATAGATCTTGTCAACAAGAGTCAGTGGTTCAGGGGTAGAAAGCTCACTTGCTATGCGGACGGCCCGGATTCGTTATCATTATTAACTATTCATCCATCACTTCTTAAAATCATGAAATCAGAAATCAATATATACTTTATTCATATTAGATGTATAGTACAAATCTTGAATTGTCCAAAAATGTTTTCCCCTACCACTCGTTATTCGACATTTTTTTTCTCCGCAGCTTAGCTTACATGCAAACCGAAAACCTGTTTAAACGACTGGAATAGCATTACCCGAAGTCCTTGTCTCTCACCGTCCTACATGCATACAGACAAGCACACACACACACACATACACACACACACACCACTTCCTTCACCAGATTTATTTGTTATGCTAAAAGTCGCTATACCTTAAGTGCTCCCCATCTATGTTCGTTTTTAATTTTGGTTTTCTGATTTAATATAATTTTTTCAGAGCACGGATTCCAACAACATGGAAGCCCAAGGTAATTATGATTTTTTGTGTAAATATTTCTCACCTAGGACTAGCACTGGTAGTACCTATACCTTCAATGATTTCTGCAATCTGACGTAATTTCGCCAAAAATTCTACAATCTATGTAGATTATATGTATCTTTTGGTCCTTGATATCATGTAGGTAATGAGTAAGCATCCCTGGCAAAGGTTAGCTCCTTAAATGTGCTGAGGTGTCCAGATCATCAAAGATGTATCAGAAACAATAATTAATATCCTTTGTAGTTATGTAGTTTTAGAAATGCATGTTGTGCTTGCATCTAGTAGGTTGCAAAGTTGTAGATTTTTTTTTGTATGGATATATTTACATGGTTATTCTTTGTATCTAGTTTTGTGAGCCCAAAAAAAATCTGCAAAAGGGACTCTTCCCCTTTAATTCCCTGTTAGTATTAGAAATATTTCCCTATTATTCTAGAGTAATATAAGTCGTCTCAATAGTAATTCAAACCCTGAATTCAATTTATAATTGACATTGTGGGTTACCTAAAATACGAAGAGATGGCGCTGCCTTGCAGCCTAAGAAATACTAGAGAAATTTCAACACGGCCAATAAGATCGCGGTATCATAATTGGTCAGTGCATCTACCCGGATAGCTGAGGGTGCGGGTTTGAGTCTACAGGTTTAAACATCTAACCGTTAAATGCTTAAAATAAAAATATATCAACTTTGGAGGAGCGGCAGCGTTCGGCTGCGATCGTTGTAGTTAAGCAACTTTCGCAGTGGTCGGTCCTTGGATGGGTGACAAAAGTTAAGCCGTTGGTTCCGGTTACACCTGCAGTCACTAGCACCCGCCAATCCGCACTGGGCCAGCGTGGTGGGTCATGGCCCAATCTCCCTATCCCATCCATAGAGAAGGCCTATACCCCAGCAGTGGGGACATTAAGAGGCTGATGATGATGATGATGATAAACTTTTTGTGATTTCAGTTTCTATACCTGTGGTGTCGAGAGGTGTATCTTGCCTGTCGTCCTGCGAAGCAATGCCTGGTGTCAGTATGAGTTTTTTTTCCTACTAGTTGCACAAAACTATCTAAAATATGCAATTGCTTTATTTATGGATCTATATTTTCCTTCACAGACATACAATCCGATATGCCCATCAAAACCAAAACTGTGTTGCTACTGTCAGGAACCTGTACCATGCAATTGTAGATCTTCGAAAGAAGAAATATTTCAAAGAAAACTAGAAAACATCATTACTTCTTGGCTACAAGATCTGCCAGTGTCTTGCAATGATAAACCACAAAGTAAAGCCATAAGAGAAAATAAAATTCTGGATTTGATTGACAAATTAAAAACATTGGATTACGATGATAATTTCGAGGAAAATGCTAAGAACGAAATATTGGAATGCGTAGACAATTTACCAATTTGGCGTCCAGCTGATGAACGCGATCGGGAAATATTTAAAATGCAAATCGTGGACAATTTAATGGATAAAATAAGAATCTTGGAAAGTGACAAAGAAAAAGGCAGAGAAGAAATTGCGCAATGGCTAGATAATATTTCTATTAAATCTCGGGATAGCCAAGGAAACCTCGTTGATAAAAACGACACAAAAGGCAAACTGACAGAGAAGTTGGTGGCTTTAGTGTTGAATCTACCTTCAGGCGAAATTATGAAACAAGAACTGCTTAAGATATTGAATGAATTTCCAATCAAAGTTAAAGAAGATGAAAGTAATTATAAAGATAATCTTGCCCTAATCTTAACTGAAAAATTGCAGACACTAAGTTTAAAAGACGCTAGAAGAGATAGTTATATAAGTGGGGAATATGAGAAACACATCTTAGATTGGCTTGAAGATTTACCAGGAGTCTCTAAAAGTAACATCACAAATATACAAAAAAACAGAAAACGAGCCAAATCACTCACAAAAAAACTTCAACAATTACTCTCACGAGGAATCCATACCAAAGATATTCATGACAAAATGCAAGAGGAAATTTTTGGCTGGCTTGAAAGTAATACAGAAAATGTTGATTCTCAAACTAAGAGTAAGCTATCTGAGAAATTAATTAATAGTTTAGCTAACAATGTACAAAGCAGAGGAGCTAAGGGGACACCCGAACACTGCAAAGACATATTAACGGAACAGATTTTAGAGTGGTTAGAAGAGATACCAGAACTATCAGGTAGTAAATTAGAAAATCAAAACATGGCTGAAATTTTAGCTAATAAATTACGAACAAATATTAGCAACGGCAATAAACAAATTGACATAGAAAATGAAATTTCAAATTGGCTGCTTGATACGTTACAAAACAAAGGGGAAAAATTAGATGCAATTGATCAAAACAACTTGATGAAAATGCTTGCCAGAAAATTAGACTCGGTATCAGAAATCGAACATATGAATAAAGATCTCACCCATAATATATTAGATGTACTTGCAGAAATCCCTGGTTTAAATGTAACAACAAAGGAAATTAAAAATTTAGCCAATCAGTTAGCAGATGTTTTTAATGAGTTAAGACCAAATGACAAGGAAAATATTAAAGAAAATATGGACAGTCGAATAGTACCCTGGCTATCTAATCTTTCAAGATTAACAGATGTAAAACTGACTCCTAAAGACAAAGAAAACTTAGAAAATAAATTATTATCTGTCATAGAAACTACTTCCAAGCAAAGGAAACGTTGGAGCATACAAGAAAATTTTAGCGATTCTATCAGTAATAGTATTTCAGATATGTTGGAAGATACTTATATAAAAGATAATAATAACAATAAAAGGAAAAGACTAAACAAAATTTCCGACTTGACTAATGAAGTTGCTAACAAAAAACAAAGTTCAGATAAGTATGATGTATTAACTGAAAAAGTAGATATTTCGGAGGAACAAGTAAGCTCACCAGCCAAACAATCAAAACATATTGCTAATGATAGAATAAATAAAAGTAATAATACAAACTATCCAAGTATTTTACAGGAAACCGAACTAAAACACTCAATACAAGAAAATGTAAATAACATCCTTAATGGCACTAAAACAAAAATTGAAAACAAAGACGAAGTTGAATCGACCATATCCAATATTCTTGCTGACCAAGCAATGCGTGGCGAAAATATTGAACAAACACAAGCACGTTTATTAAGTGTGCTAAAAATTTCAAACATGCCTGAAATGGAATCAAATAGAATTGTCAATCAATTATTAGAAATATGGAAAGAACTGTCTATAGATTCCGAAATTAAGCCACACAAAACACCGATTTCTCAATCATTTTCATCTATAGAAAGGGACACATTTATTGACAGTGCTCAAAATGAAATTTTTGATTTTACTAGAAGCTTAACAAATGACAACAGCCTGCTTGCCACAAAAAAATGGAAAATGGCTGCAGCAGAACTTGCAGAACAAGTAAGTAATATATTATTTGACTCAAGCATGACATCAGCTGATAAAGATAAATTGTTAAACCACAAAGTCTTACGATATTTTCAAGGTATAGACTTAAAACATAGTCAAAGACCATATAATCATTCTAAAGAACTTGTGAGTAGATTACAAAACCTAGCTTTTGCAACATCGACGCCACGGAATTCAAATGCGGCTGAAAATACGTATTTTCCTCCTCATAAACAATCTGAAGATCTCTCGATTTCTTTGATTGCTGAAAACAGTACTTTTAGTAAGTATAAAAAACAGCATCCAGTATCTATAGAAGACAAACAATACATGTCACAGCTTGAACACAAAATTAATAGTTGGTTGCATATTATGCCAAATATGTTTGGTATAGAAGATAATAAAAGCATCAGGGAACTCATGATTAAAGACCTGGTTGCTGATATTGTAGATAGGCAAAAATACTTGCAATTAAATCCTGAGCTTAAAACTGCAGAGGAAGAAGAATTGGAACATTTAAAGTACCAAATCTTCCGATGGCTTAATAAGTTACCAAATATTAAGGATCTCATGCCTTATATCGATAAAACACAAGAGTTAATGAAACTTATAAAAGAAGTTCCAGTTCCTCAGTTTATCAGGGATAAGAAGCCTTACAAATATACTGTGCATCATTCTAAATCAAAAAATGATTCTATTTTTGATTCAATATGTGATGGAGTATCAAATTGGATAGAAAAAACCCCTTCTTATCTTTTAACATCTAGCGATAAAAAATATCATACCGAAATGATTAAAGAGTTGGCCAATAATATAGATCAGTATCAAATAAATAATACCTTGACGGAGACAACTTTGGACAATCTTATTTTAAAATGGTTGGAAAAAATGCTAAATAGTAGTAAGCAAGCACTAGAAAATAATTCAAAAGGGTTAAAGGCTGCGTTAATTAATAACGGAATAGTATCACTTTCAGATAGTGATTCAAGTAAGGTATCAAATTATATGCATCGTTCTAATTCGGCTGATAATTTTCAAGTAATTCTTGATGATTGGATTAAAACCTTGCCTTTAAAATCTAGGACTTCAACAGACATTAAAAAAATCGAGGTCCTCAAAAAAGACCTAGCCGATAAGCTGAAAAAAATACAACAACAATATCCAAAAGGTTCTGAAAATTATGATAGCAAAATTAAAAAGGGTATTGAGAAATATCTGCAGCTGCTTCCTATAAATCCAATGAAACGACAAGACCAGTCATTTTTACGACAAAAGGTGATGGAATTATTTGAAAAATTAAAATATTTGCATTCTGAGTCTAGATTCCATAAAACGTCAATAAGCAATGAAACTGTTAAGACGATAATCAACAACTGGGCTTCTAAATTACCACTGAAACCAGGGAAATATAAAAATAATATTAAAAAAGATATTGATCAATTCACGTATGATATATATGAAAAGATAAAAAGTAATAATGTGAAAGATTCATATGCTGATATAGAAAAACAGATAAAAGAATTTCTGAAAAAAATACCCCTACAAATGCACTCAAATATTAACAATCACGTAAATGACCTTATGAATAGTATATTAGGTTTTATTCAATCTTTAACACCGTTGAATTTTGAAAATTCAACAAAGAACTCTCAAAGTGACATAGAAAATTTGTTCGACAATCTTCCTATGTTCTGTGGTAATAATCCAGAAGAAATCGAAGATTTAAAAAAAATTAAACAAAATATTGTTAACAAGTTTTCAAATAAAATAGGAGCTCTAAATATGAAGCCTGATATAATTTATGATAAGACTCTGTATGAGAATTTGTTGAAAGAAGAAATAGATGATATACTTTCCAACTTACCACAAATACCTCAAGTGCTTAACAACGTTGATTTACTTAAGGATAATTTAATTGAAAAAGCTAAGCATGTGAATCAAAAGACACAAAATGAATTGGCAGGGCATACTTACAAGCAACAACTTCGAGATGCTATATCGTCTTTACCTTCAGTCGAAAATTTAGCAGCGGGCGAAAAGGTACCATTTGAAATCCTGAAAGACAATGTAGCTGATGCTTACATTAACCTGCATTATACACCCAATAGCGAATCAAAAGATAAATATAAACAAAAAATAAGAGACGAAATAAACAAATTTTGCAGCGATTATTTAAAACGTTTTCCCGCATCACCTATGGACGCCAAACAACTAAATCAAGAATTATACTGTGCTTTGCAAAAAGTTCCAAGACCAAAAGATGATACAATAAAATCCCAAGTAGAGCAAGTGCAAATAAAAGACCAAATACACGAATGGCTAAAAGACATACCTTTGAAAAACAAATCACCTGAGCAGCAATTGCAGAAAAATAAAATAGTTTCAGTTTTGGCAAATATATTACATGAAATAGAAAAGGAAAAAAATAATAAAACTGACGCTGACATAGAAACTAGAATGAGACAAGATATAGTAAAGTGGATTAAAAGACTTTCATTAACATCTGATGAAAAAAAACACATCGATGAAAAGGCAGATGAACTAATTAATAAGTTAAAATCTACAGAAAGCAGCAGGAGAATCAGTATTTCCAATTTAAATGATAAAATTGATGCAGCGAGCGAACACAAGTCATCACAATATCAGAATCAAATACCACAGTCTACTCTTTCTAAAGAAGACAGAGCACACTTAGAACGAATTCGACAAAGAGCCCAAAGACCACAGTATACGCCACCAGCCTGTCTTTGCAAGGACGCATCTGTCAGTCCCATACCAGTAGATGAAAGCAGTCAAACCGAAATTAGAGTTGGACAGCGTCAACCTTTATCTCCAAATATAAATATAAACGAGTATAATTGGGAATCGATGGATAGCGCTTCAAAAACTTGGGAATCTCGCAAAGAATCAGAACTTCATAGTCACATACCTTTGCCAAGCGCACTTAACGTTAGTAAACAGCAAATGGAATCTTCATCAGAAAATGTAACTCCTCAGGAACAAAGTCTGGCCTGGTCCCAGTCGTTCGCAGGTAGAAATTCAAATATTATTCCGCCAAATCAATTCGGATCTCTACAATCATCACCATATTTAATGACGCCAACTCCTTGTATCTCAAAACCTCCTTGTGCTTCGCAATTTCAGAACCAGTACTTGATACCCGCTCCAACTTATACAGAGCCACAACCTCCTTGTATTCCTTTATCCTGCATCTCTACGCAACCAGCTTGTGCATCATTAGCAAAATCTAATACGTCATCTCCATCTTTATCGTTACGTCCATCGGTGCATTATGAAAATCCGCATCCACCATGCCAGCGGCCCTTTTCGGTTTTGTCTCAAAAACCGTGTCCTGTTTTTCAACCACCTTACATACCACCATCTGCAAGCGCTCCCCCACCTTGTACGTTGCAACAAGCTCCTATAACTCCATTGCCATCAACGTTGCAAATGGGGCTTAATCATTCACATGCCCCTCCATATCTATTTCAAAATTCACCTCAGGGAGAAAGTCGAAAACCTCAATTTTGTATGAAACCATCTGATTTCTCGAGAGGGTCCTGCCCCGCAGAAGAATTCTCTCAGCTCCGACGACTTAGATGTCAACCTTTAGTAACGAAAGGTGCTATGGATGATGTACCACCTTGTGTAACAAACAAGTTTGCCAATCAATCGCCTGAATGTGATAGCAAACAAACAGAAAATGAAGATTGGGGCCTATCATGTGCAAAAAGAGGACCTATTACAGTACCACTTCAAAGTCAAGAGTTTTCAAGAGATAGAAATAATGACAAAGAAAAATATCGTTCCCGAGAGCGCTGTCAAGGAAAATGTTCAGGAAGACGACCCCGCAACTTTAATCGCCGTCCATGCCTCACTACAGATTCGATGCAATATTGCTCAAAATGCTGTGGAGTCCACTGTCCTCATCCTAGTTATTTATACTTCAAATAGTGTTGTTTTTGAATTGTGTTTGACTATAAAATGTATATTATTATTTTTTTCTTCAATACTTTGTTTGATTTATTATCATCAGCCTTATGTCCCCTCTGCTTCGGCGTAGCCTGTGCCACACATCCATAGGGATGGAAAAGTGAAATTACGCAATGACCTACCACTAGGGCCCAGTGCGGGCGAGATTGACGGGTGCTAACGACTGCAGATGCAGCCGGGACCAAAGGCTTAACGTGTTTTTGGTCACCCATCTAATACCAGACCATTGCGAAAGTTGCTTTAAGTTCTGCTATCGCAGGCCGAACGCGCTGACCACTTGTGCCATCATGAAAAATTTTCTTACTCCTGCTGAAGTGTGGTTCGAAGGTGATGAAGGAAACACCCGAAAAAAAACTATAGGTTAATTTACGAATAATAAAATACGATTTATCCTTCGTTATACTCAAGGGAACAGTCAGGTACACAGGAAAAAAGGCAGACGTTTCTTCATATATAAAACCACTTAAACAACAGTTGTTTCATTTTCATTTTATTTTTTTTAAAACACAAACATGACTTACAAAAGAATAATTAAAATACATGAAATTCAACAAATGATTTCATATATAGAAAAGAACAACCAGAAAGAACGACACTAATTCAATAAAAACATCTAGGAAATGGCATTGGGGGGTAGCAGGGTAGGTAGTCCATAGAATCGTCACATAATTTGTGCGCCCTGCTACATTTAGGTAATTGGTTCATGCAATGACATTTATATTTCACTTTTTCCTCTTCATTTTGCATATTACCGTCCACATGCCCTTGAACTTGCGGCTCTGATGAAGTAGTTGCACCTGCGCGTATCCTTTCTGTTGGTTGTGTAACACCCGTGGATGAATTTGTCATAAACCTTGTGCTGGGCCCCTGAGTGAAGTATCCAGGACTTAAGAAATTCGCTTGATCTCTCTTTATTTGTTGTGGAGCGTTTGAAAGAGGATTATTCTGCATAATGCTTTGTTCGTTTGATCCTAAGGTTCTGGAAAATTCTAAAGCAGAACCAAACTTGTACTTTGGAAAATATTCCCTTGTAGCAGTGTTTTCGGGTTGGAAAGCAGGAGAAAGAGTAGGTTCTGTTCTCCTATCAAGGTAGTAAGGGGTTGGATAACTAAGATTTTGACTATTGGGACGTGCTCCTGAGATGTCGTTGCTAGGAAGACTGTACGATCGCGGCCGTCCCGTAAAATTCTTATTTGGATCTAGGAAATCATTTTTGCCACTCCTGTGATTAAAATTTGGATGTACGTCAACAAGAGGAGCCATTATCTCCCCTGGATTTGTTTGTACAAAGGTTGAGCTAGCTACGTTTTCTTTCTCAAATACATCATATCGCAGTGTATTGTGTTCACGTCTATTCTTAATTCTTTTTGAGAGTTCCTCGACCATGAAATTTACTTTCAAATCATTAACTTCTTTTAAGTCGGCATCCTTTTCTAAATATTTTGATATTTCGTGTTTCAGATCTCTTTCTAATTCTAATGATGGGTCTCCCAATGCGTCAATTTTTTTCTCTATGTGATGAAGTCGCTTTGCAAGTATTTCCCGTAGTCTTTTCCGTAAATATTCATTATATTCATTGACAACTGGTTTTACTGGCAACTCTTTATACCATTGTTCTATTTCCTCTCCCAGTAATATTTCTTCTGCTTTTTCTTTTAATTCATCTTTATTAGGTATCGGTACATCACCCAATATTTTAAAAGCTATCTGACACAATTGGGCCGGATTAATCTCATAAAATTCAACTTTGTTCTGTAATTTCACATTTTCAGCTAACTCTTCAAGTCGTTTCATTAACTGCTGCCTATACACATTTGCTCGTATAGGATCATCATCTTTATATCGTGTAGAAATAATATAATCATCTACAGTTTTCGCAACAAAACAATGTTGTGCTTTGTCAGAATTTGAAACTAGCATGCTTCTCATCATTTTCCGATCGACTTTATTCAAAATAATGTCCCGAATATTTGGTTTATCAGTGATTGAATGTATATACTTCAACAAAAGTAACAAGTCATTTAATAGCCTACTCTTCCACCCTGTTCTGACACGCTGCATTTCAACTGTTTGTGGCAAACAATCTAACATTTTATCTATTCTTTCTTCAAATAGTAGTTCAAAAAGACAGTAGTCATTGGCTATCTCAGGCTCTTCCGATAAAGTATAGAACGTCTTCCATATGCCATTGTATATTCCTACCCTAGCTAAATGAGCCAAATTTTCTTGATCTTTAGTATGAGTTTCAAATGGAAGATCGTCAATTCTGTCTTTGAATATTTTATCGTAATATTTGTATAATTCTGGTAAAGACATACCTTCTGGAAGACTTCCGAGTTCTTCGATTAAAGTATTACATTGAGTAAATTTGACGGATGTGTCCGATATTTTTAAACCATGTGTTTCATTACAACTTTTGTCTGGTGCCAATTTATGTGATTTTTTCGAAACACTACATGATCTTTCCAGACCATAACTACTAATTGAATTAATATTTTGTTTGTTCCCACTAACAGTTGGTTCAGTTGTGATTTCCAAGGGATTGCTTAGTCTTACATTGCTTGAACTCGACTTTCCTTTATATTCATCGCTAAGCTGACCATTTGAATTTATAAATTCTTTGGCATGTAATTTATTTTTATAGTCAGGTCTTGTGAACAAAGGTACTGGTACACTACGAATTCTATCCATTAGGTCGGGTGCATGGTCCAAAGTTTCTTGATGGTCCTCACCTACAAGTTTATTTATCCACTTAAATATTTGATACCGCAATTGGTCTATTTCATTATTTTCTGTCCCTTTGCATGAAGGATTTAATTCGAGATATTTATGTCTATCAATTATATCTCCCGCTAGATCATTCACAACAATTTCACGAAATCCCTTATCATGAACCTGAAGAATTTGTAAATCATTCAGCCATTCATCTATTTCTTTTACTATGTGTTTAAAATATAACTCGTGATTGTTCGCAACATCCGCCTCCGTTATTGGTTCTATGCTATCATCTTGCAAATGATCAACTTTTTCCTTTGAGTTACTAGGTAAAGTGAAGCCATAAACAGTAACATTTGATGTATTTTTATAATTTTTATCAATTATGTTTTGTGGATCCGAAGAGTTACATTTGTATAAATTGAGTTCCTGTAAGTATATTTGGAAATCATCGGGTTTTTTTTCGCCAGTATATTTTTCAGTAGTATCTAAAATATTTCCTGTTATTTGAAATGTTTCATCATCGGTCTTAATTCTGCTTAAGTGGCTAGCTAAATTACTATCTATAGTATGGCCTAGCCCGTTTTCATCGATTAAATTGCAGTCTAGAATAGAATGCACTAACTCTACTATGCTCTGATCGCTTATATTTGCTTCTTGGTTAATCTGACTTAGAACTTTAGTTGTCCATTCTGATACGAATTGTTTCATGTAATTTATCAAATCTTGTTCCGATTTTCCTTTAGTTAAATATTGTGCGTTTGACAATTTCACTGCCAATTTATAAGTTAATTCTTTCCGTTCTCGAGCACTTAATAAATTAATATCTAATAGGCAGTTATCCAACCAATCTTCAATCACGTCCTCATAAATAAGTAGTTTTCTTCGTTCTCGTTTGAAATCTCTAAATTCTTTATTTTGATGTATTATAATACTTCTAAGAGTTTCTTTTAATTTTTCAACATTATGATCTTCTTGTCCTTCTTTACAAATAGTTTTTAGCCATTTAGGTATTTCATCATTTAGTATACAATCCAAGTCATTTTGTAAAATACCTATTTGTATCGTATATATGAGTTTTTCAGCCAATTTAATTCTAACATCTTTCGGTATTTTTAGCACTTCGTCAAGCCAGTTTACAGTTGCTCTAAGCAAGCAATCAATTTTACATACAACAGGCGATCTTGAAAAATCATTTTTGTGTAGTGATAATATCAAATCAATATTAATTTCATCTGAATTTCCTAGTCTTAGAACATTAATAGCCTCTAATCTCTTCATAAGGTCGGGTGCACGGTCTATGATCTCTAAATTATCTTCCATGGCTACTTTACTGATCCATTTAAATATTTGATATTTAAGGTATTGCACTTCATTATCATAAGAACTAACTGGATTTATTTCCAAATATTTGAATCTGTCAATAATGTCTTCCGTCAAATTTTTTACAACTTGATATTGCAAATCCTTATTAGGAAATAATAGTGCTCCTGAAGAAGTTTCTTCTAACCATGCTCCAACTTGCTCCATTATTATACTCTTACGATCACAATCATCATTATATATGTCCTCATTAATTTGTCCCACAATAGAAGTTTGTTTTTCTACGTTTGCCACGGGCGTGTATTGATTATGAAATACAGAGTAGGTTTCCGAATATGATGATTGTGATCTTTTGTTGTCTTTTTCAGTGCCATTTTTATACTTGTTGCTGTGAATGTCATTTTCTAGCTGAATAATATATTTATTACTGAAGTACTTGGCTTGGTATTCATTTAACCCACCAAGATGAAATAAAATGTAATGTATATTTTTCTGAATGTAAGCAATGGTATCAGATTTAAATTCCGTGATATCCATTAAAATATCGACAAGTTCTTCTTCTAATAAATTTAAACGTTTTGAATCTACATATACACTTATCTTTTCTAAAATATAAGTTAATTGTTTTAACATTAAACTTTGTAATGTTATCGGTTTAACTTCCACATTAGATTTGCTAACCTTAAATTTGGTGTGGTTGCAGGTCAAATTATCAGTTGCAAAGAGGCTATCTACCAGAGAATAAGCTAATTTATCCAAATATTTATCATTTCCTCGTATTGGAATTTCCATTAACAAGTTCTTAGCAATATTCACCAAATTTGCTTTATTATCATCTTTCTCTAAGTCTTGAAAATTGGATAAATATGGTTCTAATTTTTCTATCAAGTAATTTACAATGTCTTCTCGCTTAATCGATCTATTCAAAAAGTCTCGACTTCTAATTGGTACACGATTTAACCAGTTGTCTATGACGGGTTTTAAGTTGTTTCTATTACCGTTACTTTCATCTGAAGTTGGGATTTCAATTCTATAAATCCGTATAGGAGAGCTGTTATTTTTTTTTCCACCTCTCAGACATTTTTTCAATTGGTTGATGATATTATCGGGTAATTGTTCTCTGAACTTTCTCCGCTCATCGTCATAGTCGGCTCTTGATTCTTGATCCAAGTATCTTTGAATTTTGTCTCTTATTTTAGCCTCTCCTTCAGGCTTAGCTAATTTTCGAGCTAATTTTTTCATTCTTTCGTTCCAAAATTTGGACGAAACTTCATAGCTGTAGACGTCCATTAACCATTCTATCAGGTCATTGGAAATGTCTCTTTTTGCTCGAATATTCTCCTGAGATTTTATTTTTCTGTAGCAAGCACTACACTTCTTTTTTGATACCAAATCTAATGAACTAAATGACGTCTGTATAGCTTTAAAAGATCTCGAACAACGCTCTGATTCTATTTCTTCATTTTCAAAACAAAGACGGTTGTTTTCTTTTTCCTAAAAATATTCGTTCTCATTTCATATATAGCTAAAATATAAATCAGATAATTTAATTTCTGGCACAAAGATTGTCTATTGCCATCCAGCGTGGCAATGCTGCAAGCATAATGGGCACCTTTGCGCCAGAAACGATACGGGGTGATATTTGAATATTATTAGTATTTGTATATTATTCTTGTACATAATGTTAATTTTAGTTATTATATTATATTTTTAAGGTTTTTAGTTTTAGGTTCATTGTTACAAGTTTAAGAATTTAATTAATCAGATAATTATTTAAAATATTAATGATGAAAATACTCACATCTCTATATAGATTTGTGGTAACATAATTAGTTATAAACGTTGTGGCTGTAATAAAAGTAGGATTATTAAGAATGGTGTTTAGTAATATAAATAAAATGTCTAATATTCTAATAACAGGATATTCAATTGATTCCACTTAAAATTTACAAAAGTTTACTCTATTCTATTATTCTACAGGTGACTTTTAGCAACAATTTAATATAAATATTATGTTTATTACACTTATCCGCTGATCTTAATATTAGCAAATATGATTAATATTAATACAATAATTCACCTACAATCAATAGTGTGGGCAACTGTATGGATAAGGATAGCACTCTTGTTCATTTCTTTCAATATCTTCGTAAATATTACACATTGGTTCTCCTCTCCATCTCCACATTTTTCTGATACAAGGGCATGGTTCATCCTTCTCTGAGGCGTTATAAGTTTCATCTTTTATCTCTAGACGTTTTTGAGCAAAGCCCTCGTGATTCCATCCTTGACGACGGCTACTTTTTTTATCTATTCGCGGGGGAAATTCTCGAGTTATGCCTTGATTTTGAGGTGTTGAAAATCCTTGAGGCTCACCATACGTCGTTATACTTCCTGGAAGATTATCGCTTAAATAATAAGGTCTATCTTTAGAATACTGTGGTTGTTGTATCGATTCAGCTGTTCCATGATGATACTCTGATATGGTTGGTGTTGCTGCAATAACACCTAGACCTATGTTTGACAGAGGATGAGGATAAACTGAAATATTTGGATTGCCACGTTTTTGTATTGAATCGGCCTTGTTGGTACCTTGAAATCCTTGACAGCATGGATTATTTGAAGGGGACGTATTATTAATATTATTGTTACCCATCGTTGTATTGTAGGCAGGTTTTCCTAAATTTGGAGAAGTACTATTTATGAGGTTTTCATTATACTGTCGTGGAAGCTCTATTGGTATATTGGACATATTAAGTTCTTGGCTGTTCCTTGAATAGCATGGCTTTATCATGGGTGCTTTAACCATAGCATTCGCTGGTCCTTGATCAAGTGATTGTCTTATTCTTGACATAGCTTGTATAGGATCATCACTTCGTATAGTATATTGATGAAATGGATAATTTTGTGCTGTTCCCGAACTTTGTAAATATTCATAACGATGGTCATGTGTTGAAGTTTTCGAATTATTCATATTTAACTGAAAATATTCATTAGCTCCTTTTATTTGATCTGATATTTGTTGTTTAGGTGCTTGACTATCTTCTAATGTATAAAATTCATTAGATCGTATTGCGTTGGAATCTCTGTCATTTCCAAACGGTAAATTGGAAGGTGGTGTAATTTTTACATTGCTACCATTTTTGATCATATAACTGGATTGTTCAACCAAAGCAGGACGAAGAGGCATTTCAGAAAAACTAGAACATGCAGGCATTTGTAAACTAAATTCATAATAACCCACAGAATCTAAAAAGCCCACAGATTTTCTCCCGCAATCAGTAATTTGGTAATTTTTATCTCTGTTTTTCAATCTATTAAATAACTCTTCAGCTAAAAAGTTCAAATTAGTATTTTTCCCTTTAATGTGTATTTTTTCTAATAATAATAATATTTCGTGCTTGAAAGTTTTTTCTCCAGAACAATCAAGTATGTTCATATTTTTTTCTACTTCCAAGATTTTTTTTAGTAATGCGTTTTTCAGTTTCCTTGTGCCTTGTTCATTGCCAATTTCTTCCTTATGAACAACTTGCAAATCTGCCAACCATTGATTCACTTCTTGCTTTAACTGTATTTCTTTGGCTACTTTTTCAAGAACATCTACATTTGGTAAAGAAACCTTGTGTAAAGCGTTCAAAACGTTATTTATGTACAAATTACTATCGATATTTTGTAACTCTTTGTCATGCGTTTTTTTGATATATTCTATCAGTAAATGAATTTCTTTTATCAGCTTTTCCCTGTAAACTTCTGCTCTTGCTTGATTGTTTTCCCTAAATCTTATACAAAATATATAATCATCAACGACTTTTTCTATTTGTTGTTCTTCAAACGTTTGCTTACTTTTGTTAGCATTCTCAATAAATCGATTATTTGTTGGGAGATTGCGTACTACGTTGTCCACAAGTTCCTGCCTAAAAGAAGCTGGGGCTAATGATTTCTTAATCATTTCATTGGTAATCGTAGTCTTTTCTATTAAATTTACTTTCAATAAATGCTTCTTTGACTTCATTTCTGGAGTGTCTGGCAAACATTTAAATAATTCTTCCAGTTCGTCATCTAGAGCATCCTCATAGTAGAAAACGTTATGAAATATAATTGGATCAAACTTGAGTTTCGTTAATATTTTCCATACTCCATTATAAATTCCTTGTCTTACCTTATCTTCTATTTCTTGTTGTTCTGGGCTTGCAGAAGGAATGGGTATTTCTTTGACCCAACTCCTTAGAAAATCATCATACTGTTCGTTAAGAACTTTAGCTGAGAGTTCATTAATTATTGGTACACCATTACAGCAAGGTGACATTAATTGATGAACTGGAGTCACAAAGTCATCGAAGCTTTGTCTGACGTTTGAACTTTTGAGATCTGTATCAACTATTATTTGATTAGACAGATTTATTTTACATTTTTTATCTTCCATCATACATCCTCTGAACGAGGATTGGTTTTTATAATCATTACAAGGTATGGTTAACTTTGGTATAAATATATTTTTAATCCTCTTCTGCAAATCGGGAGCATATTCTAAAATGTCCAAATTCTCTTCCCCAGCGAGCTTATTGATCCATTTGAATATTTGATATTTCAAATGTTCAATTTCATCTTCGTCATTACCACGACTCATATGGCTTAATTCTAAATATTTATGACGATCAATGATGTCATCTGCTAAATCATGTATGACAATCTGTTTAAAAGCACTATCGTTAGCATATGGAATTTCCACTTGAGAATCTCGTAGCCACTCATCAATTTGTTGCACTAATTGATTTAAATAATTATCTATATCGACATTCTGTTTATCGGTTTCCCCCTCTACATAATCTTGTTGACTGCCAAGATCTAAATTACATCTAGTAGGATACCTTTGATTATGAGTTGTATTTTGTAAAACTATATAATTTTGAGATTGTGTATTTGCTGAAGTATTACCATATCTACTTTTCTTATAATTCTTATTCATTACTGTTCTAATGTATGCTAATATTTTATTTGCGAACTGCCTTGTTTTGTTCTCATTTATACTACCAGTTTCACCAAGCAACAATACGATTTCTTCAATGACATCGGTATTATTATTACAGCGAATTTCATCCATAGATTGTCTTATTATATCAGTGAGTTCAGTTTCGAAATAGTGTGCACGTTGAATGTCTACAAATAAATTATTGTTACGGAAAAAAATCTTGAGATAATTTGCTATTATCTCATAAAGTTGATCTTCTGTGGGCTGACTATATCTCTTGGATATATTATCAACATTGTAACATAAATACTTTCGGTTTCCTATTCTACATTCTCTTGACTCTGTATAAACATTGTTTATTAAAGATGTGATAACTTGATTTAAGTAATTCAACTTATGAGAATTATGTACATTCATGGGTATCTCAGAAGTAATTTCTAGTAATACAGCTCGCAGCTCATCATCATCTCTATATTTTTGCAAAATGATTCTTTGTATTTTCTTTACGTATTTTTCCACCATATGACATTTATCTTCAATCATTCCAGGTGAATCGGTTACTTTAATAGGCAAACCTTTTATCCAGTCCCTGATAATATTGTTTGTATGAATATCTTGATATCTAGAACCTTTGAGTAATGGTGGTACTGATGATCTATACACTGGATTATTGTGCTGTCTTATTTTATCAATTATTTGATCTGAAATAGCATCTCTGTAAACTTGCACATCCCCATATGGGACCCAAACGGGAACATATTTCAGCATCTTTCCAACCAGTTGTTTTGCTTTTTCGCCATCATTGGGACTGTTAATTTTTCTGGATAATTTATGCAATCTACAACTCATTCTTTTCAAAACCTTTCTCCTTAAACTGTTAGTTTCAGGGTCAGCAGTGGGGCAAACTGATACTCTTTCAAGCAAATCCAATAGTTCAGCTTCAAGGCTGTATGCTACTACTTTTTCCTCAGATTTCCTTTTTATATTATTAATGGAACAACAGTGAGCTTTACTTCTTAAGTCTGATAGTTCTTCTGAGCATGAGTTAGCTTGAGTCATTAGATTGTCATCCTTTAGCGCTGTTTGTACATACGTGTAGTTAAGGATTGGCTGTTTAGGAACTTTATCGATAGCTACTTGGATTGATATTTCACCTTTCTGTTTGTGGTCGATATTTGATGTTGCCGGGGAAAGGGGAACAGCTACCTAGAACAATGAAAGTCTGAACAAATCTATGTTAAACTTGAATGTGTTGAACTAAACTGAAAGCTAGGCCTGATTCTGACATGATTCCCTAAAGCAAAAAACTACATTTAACGCAGCCTATCCTCTTTATTCTTTAAACTAGGGATATTCATCAAATTTTCTGTATTAAAAAACTGTTGCTATTACCTCAGACATTTTGTCGATATAACTAATTCTATAGCTTAAGAACAAAATAATTTAGTTTAAATTAGTTTAACTATTATTAAGTATTTTGTACTTTAGTAAATAAATTTTGTTTAAATAGTTTTATTGTAAAATAGGAATATTAAAAATACAGTATTGTCAATAGAAATATTGACAATAATGTACTTTTAATATTCCCAAATCTTACAGTTCGTTTTGTTGTTTGAGTCTTCGGTACAACAGCTACTTCACGAGAAACCATTTCAACGGCAGCTGAAAAAATAAAAGTTCGGAATTAATTCTAAACAACATTTTATTTAAAGTAAATCGACTAAAGTTATTTTTACCTTGTACTTCCATATTTACCGAATTTGCAGCCTGAAACATGAATAATGATAATTAATTAAACTTAAATATTAGTCTCATGTTCAAATTTAATTTTATCTAAGAAATGTAGATACTGTTAAAATAGAAGAAGGCTTTTGTGGATAAAATGTCGGATCATATCCTTCTCCTGCTTGGTAGTAAACAGGTTGTTTATGGACCTGAAAAAAAAATGTGTATTAGTTCTAGTTCTAGAAGTTATATTCAATATTGCAAAAGTTTTCATATACAACCAGCTGACCTGACAAGCTTCGTACTACCATATTATTAATTACGTGCAAATTTTCAAAATTCCTGAAAGACTTGTTTCACTATTGATTCAAGCTGTCACTCTTTATAATATATTGAAAACCTCTCCCAGTCGTCTGTCCCATTTACTCAAAAACTTATATATACTTACACGAGAAGTCGTAGTTTGTGCATTATTCGTAATTCCTTTAGTGTCATCCATAGCATATTTAGCATTAGGATTCATTGCTCTTTTATCAGCATAATCTGATTCTTTATAGCGATTTTGAAGCCTTACGTCTCTTGTCGGTGATTCTTCTAAGTTGCTACCTGTTTCAATAAAAGTTGTCGTTTAAAGATCACTGTCTTCCTAGCATGAGCTCCGCGATATGATATATAACGCGTTTTTACCACGCCCAATTGTCAAATTATGTACAATGGAGTTGAACAGTTAGACGCGATAAAAACGTGTTATAATGTAAATTGTGGTGCTAATGCTTCAGGCACTGCTTACTCTTGTGGTAACTATGTGCTTACGTGTGTAAATAGAAAGCTTTTTTGTAAAGCTCGCTGACTTTTGTAGACGTAACACGAGCTTTTAAGAAGACTTTGGGAGACCGAGTCACGGAAAAGTTCGTATAATTATCATTAAGAGCAAGTGCACATTGAGGCCATAGTGGCGGCTGCTAAACGCGTCCGCACAAGCTGCGATCGAGTTTTTCATACATTTTGTATAGCATAAGGTGGCCAATTAGATAAGACCCAAGATCTATTGTATACTGTCGAAACCTGCGATCTGTCAATTACATAGTTCTTAAAATCTTATATGAAACAGTTCAGCACACAATTATGTAGCGTTATAACAATAGATTATTAAGAGGGCAAACAGAAAACTGAATTATTAGTCTTGGTAACTAACTACTTATTTATTTAACTGCGAGCGCTGTGTTTGAACATTCTCCGCTAGATTAGCAAAATCAGGTTTGTTGTTGGAAATTGCCAACCTTTAAGAATCTAACGTATAAGCAAGCGAGTAAGGTGTTTATTTTTTGTATAAAAATGCTGACTTCAATAAATATGTTGAGCCTTAAAACGGATGCAGTTGTTTAACACATCTCTTGAAATTTGGACATTCCTCGTTAGAAACCAATGCCCAGAAATCTAGACCTGAGGACGACCTTGCTTTTAGAAACATGTCCCAGCACAGAGTAATTATTCCATGTGGTCCATTTGAAATGCATCTAAAAATTTTGTAGCCAGTACCCCTAGCACGAACCAATATCGAATTCGAATAGTTTGCAAACCGAAATGTTAATGTCAAATTTTGTATGGAAACTTGAACAGCAGCGGCACAAAAAGTACGTAACTAGAACTAAAAATCAGTACACATTTGACAATGACATTTCGGACTCGCAAACGATACGAATTCGATATTGGTTCGTGCTAGGGGTACTGATTTTTAGTTTTCGTTACGTACTTTGTGCCGCTGCTGCTCAGGTTTCCATACAAAATTTGACATTGACATTTCGGTTTGTAAACTATTCGAATTCGATAATGGCAATGGATCCGCAGCTAATAATATAAGAATCATGGCGAGATTACCTACACTTGGTTGTTGGCCCGAACACGAGTGCCAATGGAATTCGGGTAAACGAATAAGTGTAAATGAACGGAGTCGAGTACGCCCGTATTCCGGTAGATTTCCTATTGTTTACCCGACACCGTCTCCAGCCCGTATTACAGTGTAAATATGGCTGCTGGTGCCCAAATTCGAGTAATGTCTTCCGTGCACCCGGATATGGGCTAACGACTAAATGTAATTGCGTCAAGAAGGATACCTTGATTTATGCTGAAACCAGATGCGTATTGGCTTGATGCGTTGTGTTCTACTTCACGTGATGGTGATGAGTTCCGGCTGTGATAGCTTCTAGCCGCTGAAGAATATGAAAAGAAAGAACAGGGCAGCTACCAATAACTCTAATGTTTATGGTAGAAAGTTCATTGACAATATTAATCCTTTGTTGAGCCTCCGCTGCCTTAAGCGGAAGCACGGAGAGGACGTCCCGCCTCTCGCAGCGCCACTAATATAATTACGATCGCGCGGGTGAACAGTCGATAATGTACTATATTTGACACAGAATACAGAAATAGTTTAGAAGGGTGATCATTCCGCTTTAACGGGAACCGATGTCGCCTATTCGCCCCCACCACACTTCCACCTAATAGATAGTAGCCAATCAAACGACACGACATCAAACGATCGAACCAATCAGCGCAATTATGAGCAACTGCGACCACAAGGCCCTTCTAACCTCTGTGTCTTGTGATATTTGATGATAATACTACCTATCCAGAAGATGATGCAGACAAAAGCGCTATTCTATGAAATGACATGAAACAGCACGCGGAGCGGACGTTTGCTCCGTGCTCCCGGTTAAGATTTTTTAGAAATGAAGACATTTCGTTATCGCCAAGAACAGTGACCTGATCAGATTTTTCTGATCTGTTATTCATTTTTCGTAGGTATTTGCTTTTTGTAAACCTTTTTTTTTTTGTTAACGCAGACAAAACCTCGGTTTACAGACGACGGCGCCTTTAAGAGGCACACCGCCGAACGGACCTCACACCTGGCTCCCGCAAGTTTTACGGGCCCCCGCAGTGTCTGCCCACTGAGGACCCCGTACTCTTACGGGCCCTTTACTAAGCTGCGTTAGCTTGCTGCTAAGTTTAGGGATTCTTCCGCGTTTCCGCACCTAGCAGCCTCCCGGAGTAGCCGGGGCTCCACGGCAGGGGTCTCCAGGTGTATCGCGCGGACCCCGCAGTCATGCACGGGTAGGTGGCGAATGGCCTCAATCAGGTTGCTTTTTGTAAACCTGACGTAACAGTCTCTGCTTTTCTACAGTTGATTTTTCTAGGATATACTGATGTGTATTTAACATATAGCCAATACGAATAGCCATGAGATTTTGGTGATTAAGTAATACAATAATAACCTCTCGTTTCAACAAAAACTCAACGGATGATTTTTCAGCGCGGGTGTTATTTGTACTCGTATTTATTGATGGCACTGTACTATCTGCCTACTCGACCCGAGATTACACGCTGTGAAGAAAGAGCGCTAGATCACCATCATCTTTAAAATTAGAACCAAAATTTTCGCTTTTCTCTTTAGTACATAATGTTGTTATTGCAATCAGTGGCACATTGTACTCAAATTGTCACTGGCCGTACAACAATTATAGTGCTCTATTGTATAGGTTAAAGGCCTGTACCCCTCAGGCGAGATCTCAGTCAAGCGTACATACAAACAAACTTTCGCGTTTATAATATTAGCACATTTCTATTAGTAAGAAGAAAAGAATTAGGATAGTATATTTCTTGACTAACAATGCTTAGCTTGCGTATAATTGATCAGTCTCTCCACAATCTCCGTAGACCTCTCCGCCGAGATGCTGGGATATTTCCTCAGAGAGTTTGCAAAGGCGTCTACTGGCTCCCGGGACGGCCTCGGAGAAAATACCGAGCCTGGTGCAAAAGGTGACCTTGTTCATCTCAATGTTCAATAAATTTTTGAAGTGAATAATAAATAAATAAATATTTCCAACACTCACACCAATTAGCCTAGCCCCAAAGTAAGCAGCACTGTAAGGCTTGTGTTATGGGATGCTAGGTTAACGGATAGAATACATACACTGTACATATTATATAAGTATATTTATATAGAAATACATATTAAACATCCATGACTGGAGTACAAATGCTCGTATTCATCACACAAACATCTGCCCCCACCGGGATTCGAACCCGGGACCTCTCGAGTCGGCGACACCATGAAACCCGGCGTACAAACCACTCGGCCACGGATGTCGTCAAAAGTGAAACTTCTTTGAGTTAATTAACTACCTCTATCCGGCCAGCACATGCCACCTCGGAAAGTCCCGTTTGATTTACAGGGTATATAACTTTCACCGCTGCCGTTACCACCAACTTCGAAATTAGTCTGACCTAAAAACAAAACAAATAAAAATCTTGGATTAAAAACTTCAGTTATTTTCTTTAGTATAATATTTGTATTGGTAGCAACTAGCGACATAATTATAAATAAATGGCTAGTATTTAACTGCAAATCAAAAACTTGTCATTTTGTATAAAATTAATTCCCAATCCTTAGCAAAAATACTTACTGCACAGCAAAATGGTCATTTCTAAATATTGTTTGTGATGTTCGTGATGCATCGCTATTTATTTAAAAATAAAGCTTTTTTAAGAATGCATAGCTAATAATAACCACCTCACAACAAATATATTACAACTTTTTTTTAAACAATGCTGCCATATGGGTGATAACGGACCCAGCGCGAATTGGTGGGTAATAACGAACCCAGCGCGGATTGGTGAGTAATAACGGACCCAGCGCGGATTGGTGGTTTTTTCTATCAACCAATGTTCAGGTTAAGTTTATGATTTTCACATCATTGGAGCTAAAGAAGTTTCACTTCAGTCGTGTGGTCATAAGCAAACTCGCTTTATTTTTATAACCATCAAAAGTGTCCCAATGATGAGCAAATTTTGAAATGCTTAGTCGGAAACCTGTTCCAAAAATAGTTGTTTTGTTATGAGTGTGAGTATTATGAGTCGTAGCCCTGGTTAATTTTCTAAGCAATCAGTATATTTGCTGTGCAATCAGTATATTTGATATGAAAATCATATTTCTGTACAATTAAACAAGTTTTTTGTTACTACAGCTTAGATTATATTTATGAATTATTTTCAGCAATAGTTTTGTTCAAGAAATGTTTTGTTTGCAGTAAAATTATTATTTTGATGTAAAAAGTATTAATTGCTGTAAATAACTTGATGGGTGATAAGTTATTTGTTATGCATTTAAAAATATCCGTAAATAAATGTTAAACGCTACTACTGTTAAACGCTGATATGTGTTTCTTGCGCCCATTCATCTCATCAGCTAAAAGATGTTAGATTCAAAAGAGCTTTCATTTTGTCAATTTTATTAAAGAATTATTTCATTTTATTTATTTATTTTTAAACTTTATTGACCAAAATATAAATATATAACATTGGTGCAAAAGGCGGACTTAATGCTAAAAGCATTCTCTCCCAGTCAACCTTTGGGAAAAATGAAAAACACGAACGGCGGTATAAAGCTAAATACGAATATATATACAAATTAACATAGATACATATATAAATACATACTATAAAAATAATATAATATATACAAACAAAACACACTAATATAAATATATACAGTATACACATATATATATATACACATATATGCACAAGATGATGATTAATAAAATGACATTTATTAATGTAAGTATGTAAGTAAAGTAAGGAGTAATGTAAATGAATTTTATAATGTAAGTCCTTAGTTACCTCTTCTGATTTCGGCTCGTTGTGGAGGAAACTCTGTGAGTTGTACCGGAGGTGATGTCGGGCTTATTCTGCAGTGAGCCATCTGGAACACATACAACAACAATAAATCAACTCGTATGTAAAGATTTTTGAAGTGAGAACTTCTTTAGCGGCGTTGTACACTTTTTTTTGTATGGGTAAAAAATGTTAAACTCGCGTCAGGTTAAACACGTGGGCTGATGGCATCATGACACACAATGAAATTGGAAAGGTTGTTGACTTTCAATATATTGGACGAAACATAGTAATATTTTATTTTATCGTATTATAATAATAGTCTCTATCTAGGACGTCCATGTGGCAGCTTTATTGCGAAGAAAATGCATTTTTACAATAGATATCGCTAGGTGCGCTTAATTGTGATTCATGTAAATTGATTTCTTTACAATAGATGTCGCTAAGTGCGCTTAAACGTGATTCATGTAAGTTGAATTTTCTGAGAGATAAACTTTTTTAATGTAATATAAATTGTCATATTTGTGTACGATACCGCAATAAATAAATATTGTATTCTACCACATACATGATAGTACTTTATACTGATATTAAAGCAATTCGTGCAAAGTTATTCCCTAACCATTCCAAAATATCAAAAATGCACAACTTTAATATTCAAGTTTTCACTTCTGCCGGTACTCCCGGAGTGCAACCCATCGTTTTTTTTCTTGCAGCCTATAAAAGGTTAGAGAAAATTCGACACGACCATATCAGGGCAGCGGTAGCGTAATGGTCAGTGCATTCGCCCGGATAGCGAAGGGTGCGGGGTCGAGTCCCGTCTGCTGTCTAGTCCACGTGCTGGAATTATGTCTAGTAAGGTTTTCTTTAGATTTAAACATCTAGCAATTAAATGCCTAAAAAAAGAAAATATAACCCCCCCCCCCCCCTCCACACACACACACATATATATATATACTAGCTGACCCAGCGAACTTCGTACCGCCATAAAAAAACTTAAATAAAAAAAACATTATCCAGCGGACAAAATTGTGAATCTAAACCATTCTCAGATCCCCTTGAACACACACAAAAAAATTTCATCAAAATCGGTCCAGTCGTTTAAGAGAAGTTCAGTGACATACACACTCACAGAAGAATTATATATATAAAGATATGTTTTACGGCTATATATATATAATATGTCGGAGAGCGACTATTCACTTTGTCATTAGCGTTCAAGGGCTTAGTGGGCGTCATTGGGGCTTGATACAGGCACAAAACCAAACAATCACTCAATCACTGTTCATACAATTTTAATTACGTTCATTTAACAAAACAAAATAAAAATGTTTCATACACACTTTAATAATTACACTTAAATAACGTAACAACCGAGGAGCGGGTTCGAGGTACCAATCTGACTTCACTGAACTACTGTATCACTGTTCTAGTAATGAACCGCTACGATCACTTCCTCGCCTTTAAATACGCGCAAAAACTACCTCCCACCTGTGAAAATCAAGATGGCGCCTCGACCCCACTCGAGGCACGTGCTCTGCTCTGATTGGACGCGACATAAAATGATTTATTAGCGACTTTTTTTCAATTGCTAAGTTACTGAACAATACAAAAATTATAATTATTTTAAATCAAATTAAATTAAGATTTTATAAAATTATTTAAAGTGTAAACAATGGCCTTTTCACGCTTGGCATTCAACAATCAACTTTACTCGTCACATCCTCCGACATAGATATATATATATATATACTAGCTGACTCGGCGAACTTCGTACCGCCCAAAAGTAATAATTTACAATAAAATAAAATTGCGACTATAATTTGAGATTTAAACTATCCTATCTCTCAAGTTGGATCGAACTGCACATGGTGTGCGAATTTTATTATAATTGGTTAAGTTGTTTAGGAGTCCATTGAGGACAAACATTGTGACACGAGATTTATATATATTAAGATATATATAGGGCGTCCCGGGTTTGTCACGCGGAGGTAAAGTATATTAAATATTAAAGATAGGATATTTTACTGAAAAAAGACATCATTTTATTTTTAATAACAAGTAGAACTGCATTCACAGTTTTTAAAAAACCTAAACCGGGAATCAAACTCGTGAAATGAGAAAAAAAAACGCATGACGTATTTTATGATAACCATCGAAAGGGTTATCACAAGGATCATCATCATCATCATCATCAGCCTATTAATGTCCCCACTGCTGGGGCACAGGCCTTCCCTATGGATGGAATAGGGAGATTGGGCCATGACCCACCACGCGGGCCCAGTGCGGATTGGTGGGTGCTAACGACTGCAAATGCAGCCGGGACCAACGGCTTAACGTGCCTTCCGAAGCACGGAGGAGCTCGAGATAGTAAATTTTTGGTCACCCATCCAATGACCGACCACTGCGAAAGTTGCTCAACTTCAACGATCGCAGCCGAACGCGCTAACCACCTGCGCCATCGAGCTCCTCCCCTTTCGATGGTTATCATAAAATCACAAGGATATTTTTTCCTTAATAAAATAGCATTTGAAATAAAAGGAAGATATATGAAATTAAAATTTTGTTCAGGAAAATTTTCTCCTACTTTTCCGTGCTTCCAACAGCTAAAGTGACAAACCCGTGGGACGCCCTGTATATGTATTAGTCTTGTGACGCTCGTGACGCATTTCCGTTTCATGTTTTTACACTCCGTCCTAAAAGAAATTTCACTTCAATAATTCCACTTGGTTCAGACTTCAGACAGGATTCAAACCAGCTTCATCCACTATCCGGATGGGTTGACGATGTTACCTTGTACGTGCTCGCGTATCTACCATCTGTGGCTTGAGCAGCTGAGTCACTCCTCGCTGGCTGCTCACTATCTTGGACATACGTCTGCTGTGACGTCACGTCATGCTTCAAACTGGCGTTCAGGGATTGAGGTAGTCCTGGGAATAGTGCTTATCATTATAATCAGCCTATTAATGGCCCCACTGCTGGGCGATTGCATAGCCTTTAAATAAATATATAAATATTTCCAACACTCATACCAACTAGGTTAGCCCCAAAGCAAGCACTGTAAGCTTGTGTTATGGGATACTAGTGTAACGGATATAATACATAAACATGCATGACTGAAGTAAAAATGCTCCTATTCTTCACACAACATCTGCCACCACCGGGATTCGAGCCCGGGACCTCTCGAGTTGGCTACACCTTGAAAACCGGCGTACAAACCACTTAGCCACGGAGTTCGTCATGGATCGGTGGTGGTCACTTATGGATTAAAAAAGAGATTGGGCTATGATCCACTACGCAGGTGCAGTACGTATCGTTGTGGTCGATACCCAATAAGAAACCCATAGCGACACTGCAGGCAAGGAAGGCACGCCCCAGAATTTTAGTGGGCAGGCCCACGGTAGAGTCCCACATAACTTCGGCCCCTTCAAGTAGTAACTCCGTTGCATTGCAGGGTATGTATCAAGCATTTCTCTGGGTAAAAACGTCCAATACGTATTGGTGTTTCCTAAAGACTGTAGATGCAGCCGGGACCAACGGCAGACGGCTTAACATGCCTTCTGGAGCACTGAGGAGCTCGTGATGATGAGTTATTGATCACCCGAAGTTTCTTACTTCCAAAACCGCAGACTGAATGCGCTATACATCTGCGCCATCGAGCTCTTCAAAAAATCATATACATCTGATTTTTCTTGATTTTTATATGTCGTACGATGATAATATGAAAATTCCAATTTTCGCGAATATCCTAGGGATTTTGCGAAAACACGTATAATACTTACACAATGGCGCTGACATTGCTCAATCTAATGGCAGACACAATGAAGGCGGGACTAGCCGACGGCTATTGCCGCGCATATGTGCCACCGACAGGTGCCGTAGAAACTTGTACAAAGTCATTGAGCATTTCATTCACGTTGTGTTGCGCCGCTAGCAACCCGTGCGGTATGCCCGCATACCCGGGCTTTTGTATTTGTTTGGAGATGCTGGTGGTCGCAGATGACCTTCACAGCGTCACCGGGTTTGGGGACGGCGAGATCCTTAAGCCGAGAATTGGCGAGTGCCTCTAGAGGTATTCCAGACCGATGGCATCTCCCCACGGGGGGAGTCTCCTCTCCGTCTGGAGCCTCTAGACCACTCGAACCTGAGCCACCGTGGTTTGCCCGGCGGTAAGGACGGAGGCCAGGCCGGCGGCACTATGTGAACGAGCCATTACTGTGTTCGCGTCATGCTCACAACTAGGGTTATCAGATCTAGAAGTTCAAATATCGGAAAAGTATTGTAAAATAAAGGGATTTTGGGATTTGTTGTTTAGGATTAACCGGAAGCGTCCGTGTAAGGCCGAAACTGAATAAGGTAGACGCGGACAGTGCATGATCCCACCATTTCCAAGAAATATTATGGCGCAAGCGAAACGATATATGTAACCTTGTTTCTTAGGTTTTCACGCACATCACTCATTAAATAAAACTAGTTTTAACGGGTTAATGCACGAAACTTTATTTATTTATTGACGTTTCGCATCCTTTGCAGTAAAAATAACATCAGTGCATCTTACCCGTTAAAACTTGTTTTATTTGATATATGTATACGTTTGCCATCTTCGTTTGTCGGGAGATTCTCTTATTCTTCAAAAGTCTGGACATAAGTGAACCCAAGAATATTTCCTCAAAAAATCCCACTTTATTTAATAGAAGGATTGGACTGTACGAGTTGTGAAAGATGGGAAGATAAAGAAGCTATCTCTCAACTTTGCTGTACTTGTTTGCTTAATACAAGAATTTATCTCACCGTCATTCGGCATTAAAGTGTACTGTTTGGCGCCATCAAGAAGAGTAACTGTAAGACCAGAGTCCCTCAAACCTCGCACCACAGCGATCATGCCTTCGCCACCCTCCATAGTTGCTTAATTGTGGATTGAGGGAGAATGCTGTAATAAAATTGCACGTTATCCTACTTCATCAGCCTATTAATATCCTCAGTGCTGGGGAACAGGTCTTCCCTATGGATAGAATAGGGAGATTGGGCCGTAACCCACCACGCGAGCCCAGTGCGGATGGGTGGGTGCTAACGCCTGCAGTTGTTGCTGGGTCCAACGGCTTAACGTGACTTCCGAATCACGGAGTTCGAGATAATAAGATTTTGGTCACACATCCGATAACCGGCCATAGCGAAAGTTGCTTAGCTTCCACGATTGGTATGGCGTGTAAATAGCCTACCACTGGAATGTGAGTTTATATAAATGTATTCGGCGGGCGAATTATTATGTACGAGCTGTTTGGACACAAAGAAACATCAACAATGAAACAAATGGAAATTGAATTAGACGCAATGCCACCAACGACTCACCTGGATGTCTCTCTGCCTCCTTATCGGGCTTGCAAGCGTGGGCACAGCCGAAGCAGCTCTTTCTTTCTTCCTCTGGGTGCGGTTGAAATCTTCTACGCGATTTCCGCAACAGTTACGCGATGCGGGTTAATATGATATGTGCGTACTACCGATCTCCACCGAACGCGAAACAGCAAAGCGCGGCCGTTGGAAATGACGAGCCAACGACCGTTATTAATAATCAATAATCAATAATAATAATCAATAATCAAAATCATTTATTCAGTTTAGGCTGTTACAAGCACATATGAATGTCTAGAAGCTACGCCATCGGTTCGTAAATCTACGGCGGGAGACCTTGTACTGAGAAGAACCGGCAAGAAACTCAGCAAGGGCTGTTTTTTTCTCCCTGTTTTATGATTTACAGAGTCGTCAAGTTGAAAAATGACTTCAGAGATGATTCATGAAGTCACCCTTCATTACATAATGTGAAATTATACATTAATTGTACACCTGCATTTTGATTGCTGTGTCACACAGTATAAATACAAACAGAGTTATTTATAATAGGTGTAATTAAACATTTATATCTTAAATATCAAAGTAGTTAGGGCAGACTCATCTCCGCTGGCAGCACCCGTTCACGAGCATGACGCATGAACCAGCCATCGCTTCGCTCAACCATATTTTAGGGAACGTAACGACCCGCCTCACACGACACCACCGAAGAGACTTTTAAGAGAGCATGACTACCCATAACCACCTATATCAACCACAACATATTTACTTAAACTTAAAGTCATTTATCTGTAGGACACTGCAAACACTTACAAAGCAAAAACAATGGAGAAATCATGACCACGCCGTTTTGTCATTCAAATCTTCTTAAATAGTCTGATATTCTTCCTTACGTAATCAGCTTTAAATACAGCTTTTCAATAAAAGTATCATCAACACATGATCCATAATATATATCATATAGAAATACCCGTTGGAATGGTTGGAACAGTTCAAACCCAAGCATTTTTGTCTGTAATATATATAATCAGACACTTTATAATAAGCATTCTTAATAAGAGTTTTTTTAATAGTCGATTTAAATTTAGTCAGGCTCACTCTTGAATATTGCTTGGGACTTTATTGTAAAAGCGAACACAGAGGCCTCTAAACGAATTATTAATTTTGTGGAGCCTAGTAGCAGGTAAAGTTAACTTATTTTTACTTCTAGTATTAAGTGTATGTATTTCACTATTTTTAGTAAATAAACTAATATTTTATTTGACATATACTAAGTTTTCAATTTTTTTGTTTTATTTTTGAGATATATTAAGTTTGAGTACCCGCGCATAACAATATTCGCAGTACCCACATATCTGCCATCTGGACAGGTTCGCAGATCGAACACTAGGTGGCGTCAGCGAGCATATTGCAAATCCGAAAGCCAAATGCGAACATTGTTGATGTAACAAAAAACTCACACATAATAAAACGCCCAACCAACGATCGTAGACAGAACGCGCTAACCTTTATCGAGCACCTCCTATCGAATGCGCCATCACGAAATGAAACTACATACTTCTAACCTCTTTCTGTGTTCTGTAGATGAGGCAGACTCTCAGCAGTGTCACAGTACTAAAAGCGTACGATTCCTCTGCATGTGTAAAAGTATTCAAATTATAACTAATAGGGTATTTGACAAGTTTTAGAAAACGATCTCACGTTATTGACTAATGTTTATGGAGTCCGCAAAAAGTGGATATTCATCATTATTTTGTGTATTTCAGTAAAAATAACCAAATCAAAAACTCCATTTTCAAATTGTCGCGAAAAGGTTTCTCTGGGCAATATGGCGTCTTACTAGTGTGTGACCTCACACGACTGTCATTAAAACGTCAAACGATCCAAGGTAATGTCTCTTTGACCGGAAGTTTACTTGCGTGTGACGTCATTTTAGGCTCCGCCAATCCCAAGCGTTTTGGGTCACGTGACAATAGATAAGAAATCTGTTAAGACGTGGGTTTTTCATAAAATTATGTTTTTTTTTTAAATAGTAAAAACCCCTGCCAATATTCATTCTAAACACAGATGCTAACAATTAGCGCTTTATTTTTAATATTGTCAAATACCCTATTCTTGTGTTAACAGTGTTAACACCACTGTATTATTGGAAACATTCTCAGCTTACAGTCATCTTGAGTATCTTCAGAAAGGAGTGACACAAATCTGGCCTATAACAGGTCTGCCATTCTTCCCACAGAGGTACCGGCCTGCAATGGAATATTCAACGCAATCATGTTCTATTCTTCGGATTGAATACGGGTGCAAACCACGAACCGAAACCCACAGCGACGGGGCTAGCGTAAAGCCCAGCCTAAGAGCCCCCGCAGACTTGCAATTTCGGGTTGCCCTACTATTGTACAACTAAATTGGTAACTTTCACAATTTAATTGGGCGACTTTATTAGCCGAAGACCTAACTGATTTAGTCAGTGACTGTGTTGCTAGCGCTCTGACGTGTGCGAGAAAACGAGGAAAAGAACTGCTCTAATTGCAATATATTAATATTGGATTTATAGCAGTTCTATTCCTCATAAAAAGAAGACGGAAACAAAGTCTTTTTTGTACAGTGTCGGGTTTTTTGCACTTCATCTATGAGCTCTTCTACTTTTTCGTTTGCTACTAGAGATCGGGGAGTCGGTGATCGGTCGACGAAGTTCCTGGCGTGGGGCAATCACGCGCGTGCGTGCTTTCTCCCTGCATCTTGCCTTACGACTGACCAACTTAGTTGTATAATCTGCGAGGTTACATATAGTATCAGTACTAATAAACAGTTGGCCGATAGTTTGCCAACATTTTAATTGTGAGTAATCGGAAGGGAATCTCAACTCTGATACAATCGGTATCCAATCATTTAGTTGTACGATTTGGTTGGGTAATATGTGTGGACTATCATATGTCAGAATGCCTATTGTATTACTATGCGATTCAGTTGTTCAATTGGGAATTGCAAGTCTGCGGGTGCTGCCGCAATTACATTTGGTCGTAAGACCGAATTCGGGTGCACGAAAAACATAACTCGAATTCGGGCACCCGAAGCAATATTGACACTGGAATACGGGCTGGAAGACGGTGTCGGGTAAACAAAAGAAATCTACCCGAATGCAGGCGTACTCGACTCCTTTCATGTATACTCAGTCGTTTACCCGAATTCCACTCGTATTCGGGCTAGCGACCAAGTGCAATAGCGCCATGAGGCACTAATCCCACCACCGGCAATGAACTAGTAGAGCTAGAAACTAGAAACGAGAGAGAGTTGGCCAGCAGCGGGAAGCGAGTGTGTAGCTTCGATAGTTTTATCGCTGGGCTATAAGCCAGTGTGCGATTACGTGCAATTAATCGCGCCACTCGCTCGCGGTGACAGTCCTGAGCAAAAACTAATGAAGCGAGTTAGTTAAAATTAGCTATGTTTGTGTCTACTCACATATCTTGTCCAAAATTAAGATAGGGAAATGAACTTCATATAAATGCGCTGGTAATGAAACAAAAAAAACGAATTAGACTTAGAATTTTGAGGAATCTAAGAATTTAGATCAGAATTTCTATACTGTCTGCTTGACAAACATGATTTATGTTGATGTGTCGAATTATGTCAAAGTGATTTTTTCTTGTCGTTCCTTTCTTGTCCGTGCTAGAATCTCAGAATTAAAACCGTCCATGTGTAGAATGTTGTCGTTATTAAGATTTTTAATCTAGACCATGCATGTTTATGTCCATCTATGGTCCATCTAATGTCATCATTGTCATTATTTCAAAAACCTCCAAAAATGTAAAGTTGGACAAAAGTATAAAAAATAAGTACCTACATATACATAACTGAAATGTACAACAGTGTAAAAAAGACCATGGCATAAACTACAAAGGTTAGTACTTTTCTCTACGTTTCGCTTGCGCAATAACAACAAAACGAGTAGAGTAGTAGATTGTAAAGATTTTGAAACATTTTGTAAACAGTAACTAAGAAGTTTCTCATAGACTCAATTGTTTAAACATAATATTAATTTAAGTTATGGTACTATAGGTCTAGTCATACATTATTTAATTTAAGCAAATATTACTGTTAGAGACCGTTTGTTACCTAAATCAATAAAATAAAATAAAATAAAAATAAAAAACGAAAGCACAGCGGCGAAGACTAAGACCCGTATTAATAGTTCGCTCTCTACTCTGAGAGGGATCTTCAGATGCTGCTTTGTATGAAAACAGTATCCTAAGATCGTAGTCTCACAGTTGCGAGCAATCTATTAATATGAGTGTTAGAAGTTAACAGTTAAAGTAAAACCCCAATTTCTATTAAATTAAAAATTTCATGACAAACATCAGCCAAATACACAAGCAGCGCACAGCGATGCGAAGCGGCCACGAGACGACTACTCCGTTTAGACCGCGCACCGCCTGCTCCGTTTAGGCGTTTAGCAGACGACGGGGCGGGGCGGGCTTTTTGTCCGCGAAGCAATAAAGACCGCGTCTGCCCGTCGATGTCTGCGGCTGCCCGCGCCGCGTACACAAAGCACACGACGGGCAGAGGCGGTCATTTCAGGACGTTCGTTCTAGTGAATAGTCCATCACTAAAAAGCGCGTGGCGCGGACTGAGCTGACCGCCCCGCGCCGCCGTCTGCGTTACTGCATATAAACTGGTTTGCGTGATCCACGGCGGGCAGCGGCGGACATGCCGCGCCGCCACTGCCCGCCGGGCACCTGCGGCGCGGTCTTTTGCCCTCCGTGTGCGTTTGAAGTATAGGATTCACTTTGTGCTATTATTCGCAGCGAAATTGACCGGCCCGCCCCGCCCCGTCGTCTGCAAAGCGCCTTAGACCGCGCGCCGCCCGCTCCGTGCTCTTGACTACGCTTTGAGTCGCCGCGCATAGTATCTTAACTTCACCGCGCCTCTCCCGGTGCGGTGTGCACTGCGCCTTAGTCACTATTCAATTCAATTCAAATTCATTTAGTTCGACCAAACATGGATCATATCGTTACTTTAAATATTCAATTACATAAATATTATCAAGAACACACTAAGCACAATAATAATTCCAATCGACAATAATTATATTTATAATGCAACTAGCTGACCCAGCGAACTTCGTACCGCCATAAAAAAATAAGGATTGGTGGTAGAAGGGTGAAAATTTAGGACTGTATGTATTTTTGTGTGATGTATCATAAAAAAATTAAAAATTAAATCTCAAAAATTAAAAAAAAAAATTAGGGGTGGATTACCCTTAACATTTAGGGGGATGAAAAATAGATGTTGTCCGATTCTCAGACCTACCCAATATGCACACAAAATTTCATGAGAATCGGGAAAGCCGTTTCGGGGGAATTTAACCACAAACACCGCGACACGAGAATTTTATATATTAAATAATAAACAATATAATTCAGGATATAGCAAAAAGGATAGTCGACATCACAGGAGACCGAAGAGCTGGCAGCTACCTCGGACAAAGAATTAGTCTAGTTATTCAAGGGGGGAACGCTGCCAGTATCTTCGGAACCTTGCCTTTTAATAATGTATTTTAAATATTAACTATAATGTGCACATTGTAAAACTAATGTTAATGTATCATTTTATTCTTATTTACTAAATATAGGTACCAAGACTCTCTCCAGGCTCAGTACATGTATCATATAACAATGGTTTACGTAATGACAGTCAAAAGCTCCGAAAATAATTTCAGGATGGTGTTCGGGCTCGCCTACAGCCTGTAGAGTCCTAGACATCTATAATTATTGAAGTGAAAACTTCTTTAGCGGCGTTGTGCACTTTTTTTGTAATGGGTAAAAGTTGTTAAACTCGCGTCAGGACACGTGGACACGTGCCCTAATCGAAAATTCGAAAGACGAAACCAATAAAATTGGAAAGGTTGTTTGTTGACTTTCAATATTTTGGACGAAAAATACTAATATTTTATTTTATCGTATTATAATAATAATAATCTCTTATCTATTAGACAAGTCCGTCCGTCCGTCCTTGGTGCTGTTTCAGCGGCCAAACCGTAAGAGATAGATAAAGAGAATGTTTAAGTTATAAGTTGAGAATAGTCTGATAAGACTACAAACAGGATGTGAGTAACGTAGCACTGCCGGTTTTCGAGAAATCACGTGATTTCTATTTCAAACGAAACCACACAAAATCTCCAAAGTTCTCAATTAATTAAATACATCTTTTTTTTTGGTGAACATTTGGTTCACTGGTTTGCTAGTAAGTCTCTAATTAGGACGTCCAGGTGGCAGCTTTATTGCGAGAAAATGTATTTTTTTTACAATAGATGTCGCTAGGTGCGCTTAAATGTGATTCATGTATGTTGATTTTTCTGAGAGATAAACTCTTTAATGTAATATAAATTGTCATGTTTGTGTACGAAAGCGCAATAAATAAATATTGTAACACATAAATGTACTTTTACACTGATACATAAGCAATTCATGCAAAATTATTCCCAAATTATTCCAAATATCAAAAATGCACAACGTTAATATTCAAGTTTTCACTTCTGCCGGCACTCCCGGAGTGCAACCCGTCGTTTTTTTTTATTTCATTTCCTCTCCTTCTTTCCTACTGTAACTGTTAATGAACCGACCTCCACTTACTTTCTTACGGCTCAATTACATTTGGTCGTTGGCCCGAATACGAGTGCCAATGGAATTCTGGTAAACAACTAAGTGTAAATGAACGGAGTCGAGTACGCCCGTATTCGGACAGTTTTCGTTTTGGTTACCCGACACCGTCTTTCAGCCCGTATTCCAGAGCAAATATTGCTTCGGGTGCCCGAATTCGAGTTAGGTCTTTCGTGCACCCGAATTCGGGCTAACGACCAAGTGTAATTGAGCAATTACTTGTTTCAGAAACCTTATATTGGCGATGGCGTTGCTTCATAAATCTCCCGCTTTATTCATCCCAGATTCTACTGAAGGTACTTAAATTACTGTATTTTTATTGCTACTTGAATATCTCCAATTTGCGTTTAAAAATATATATCACACCACGTTAGAGTCTGTGCGGAAAGAGAATGGGCGTGGCGAAAAACGGAACTAACATTAAGATTTTTATTTGGCAATCAAACCCAGCAATCTGTAAAACGTCAAAGTTTTGTATTGATACGGATTTGTTTGTTTTTGTGATTTCTTGCGGTTTTATGTATAATCATGTCTAAAAGGGGTAAAACCTTACAAATACGGTAGGAAAGCACTACAGCGCCTCCAATCTAAATCCAACAACCATAATGCCGCAATTACACTTGATCGTTACCCAGTATTCGGGTGCATGAAAGACATTTCTCGAATTCGGACACCCGAAGCAATATTTACACTGAAATACGGGCTGGAGGACGGTGTTTGGTCAACAATAAGAAATCTACCCGAATACGTGCGTACTCGACTCCGTTCATTTACACTTAGTGTCACTGCACACGGGCCACACGCGACAGCCACAAACGCCGCCACGAGAAGCTAGAAGCGGCTACTAAAGTGGCTGAAGCGCGCGACAGCAGCTGACTAAGGTACCGGAGAGAGGGGTGGGGTATTGCGCGAGTGACGTGTGGCGGCGTTTTGTATCGGCGCATAAGTGGCCGGTGCGGGCCACAAGAAGCGAGCAACGACAATTTGTAACGTGTGGCGGCCACCGGCGTACCGTGTGTGGCGAGTCCATATAAAATGTATGAAAACTACAAGAAATATGCCGGTGGCGGCGTTTTATGGTTTTGGTCGGTGGCCCGTGTGCAGCGACACTTATAGGCGTTTACTCGCATTCCATTAGCACTAATATTCGGGCTAACGACTACGACTAGGTGTAATCGCGGCATAATATCGAGCCCTTACCGCCAAATTATCGTAAGCGACACTCGCCAAATTATCGTAAGCGACACTTTTGTCGCAATGCGTTTTTTGTGGAAACTAATATTTTAAACCGTAACGGACCCATCTCTGTTGATATTTCCCTCCAAAAGAACACCGTTATAATATAATAGAGGGAAATATCAAAAGAGATGGGTCCGTTAGGGTTTAAAATATTAGTTTCCACAAAAAACGCATTTCGACAAAAGTGTCGCTTACGATAATTTGGCGAGTGTCGCTTACGATAATTTGGCGGTAAGGGCTCGATATAGCAAAACCTGACGCTTATAAATGTAGTCTATGATTTTAAGTAATACAGGAAGTAAGAAGTAACATGAAAATTCTCTGTTTGAATAAATAATAAAATAAATAAATATTTCCAACACTCACACCAATTTAGCCTAGCCCCAAAGTAAGCACTGTAAGGCTTGTGTTATGGGACACTAGGGTAAAGGATAGAACACATATACTGTACATATATAAGTATATTTATATAAAAATACACATTAAACATCCATGACTGGAGTACAAATGCTCGTATTCATCACACAAACATCTGGCCTAACCGGGATTTGAACCTGGGACCTCTCCAGTCGGCGACATCATGAAACCCGGCGTACAAACGACTCGGCCACGGAGGTCGTCAAGCTGACTGTTCACACTGCCGGCGAGAACGCAGTTCACGCAGATTCTATTGTACGTTCCTTGAGCGAGAAAATAGCCGATAGCTAGTCGCTTCCTCGCCAGCGATTGGACAAATGCCAGACGGTCGTATGCATGTTTGCCACTTTAAAGCATAGGCTTTTTAAAATAGAAATCATGATATTCCGTCGCCAAACTGACTATTTCTATTTAGATTCAATCAAGAAAGCTAAAGAAATGAAAAAACCTCAAAGAAAAATGTACATACCCATCAAAATCCAAACGAACGCTATCAAAAAGGACGATATTGCCATAAACGCGACATACATTAGCATCGAGGATCTGACCAACGAAGAAGAAAGGAAGAAGGCAAGACAGAGAGCGAGGAATGTGGAAGTGAGATACCTCGACAGCATTCGTAATATAAGGGACAAAATCAAGTCTTCTTACGTGAGTACCTAATGATTGTATACCCCCACCAGTGGCAAATAAATGTAAAACTCGTTGAGGTCTATGACATACTGATATTAAACCCAATCAATATTTATTTATAGTAACATAAGTTATTTACGGGATAGTTACCATGTACCTTGTTTTTAGCGAGTTTCCGACATTTCGGCACTGTTGCAAGCGCCATGATCACGGAGTAACTGAAGTAATTGCGGGTATGCTGTTATTGGCAGACATATCGGTCTACCCTCCGACAAAGTCTTTTATTTTGTTCGCTACCCGTACCACTGTTCATATTCTGACTGTTCACTCGAAACTGTTCTCGACACACAGTACTTACAGTCTTACAGTATCGGATCGAGGCACGACACTTTTTTGATTATTTCCGGTTTTACTCATACGAACCAAAGGATTCCAGACACTCGACAATTTAAACCCGTCCTCACGATTGAATTTTTTTTTCATCCCACCACCTCGGAAAGTGTAATTTTGCGCTTCGAAATCTGGCTGGAAAATTCTATTTTATTCGCTTGAGCGGCAAAGTAGATTTGAATTTAGAACATCACATATAATGAGTACTCAATATAATTGTAAATTCAAAACGTCATTAAACCTATTTAATGTAACCTCTATGGTGCCAAATTTATGATTAGAACTTTTTAAATTGTGAAAAAATTTAAATTTGGAACCTTCTTGGTTTCTTTGTTTTATTTGCGTGCTTCGCGCCATTCTAGTTTTTCACGTTTTATTGCTTAAATATTTTGTCATTATAAATTGTTTTCTTTTTCATTTTGTCATTTCCTCGCTGAGGTGGGATGAAAAGTTACGTATTGCACTCGAGTGGAAAGATTTTTCACCTTGTGCTCGTTTGTTTCCCTCGCTGACGCTCAGGATTCTAATTTAGAATCACTCGCTGCGCTCGTGATTCAACTTTAGAATCCTTCGCTTGCTCGGTCATCCAAATCGAGCACGCGGTTAAAAAGGAACTTTCCACTCTTGTATAATAAATAACTAATGTTTCGTTATTTCAATCGCTTCCCTGACCAATCTTGTTACTCCGTGATCATGGCGCTTGCAACAGTGCCGAAATATCGGGAACTCGCTAAAAACTAGGTACATGGTGACAATCCCGTAAATAACTTATATTACTATAATGTTAGTGACCATGAAAGTTTAAAACAATATAATATTTATTTAATTTGTCTGTCGCTGTACAGGGGGCCATTTGCCTAACGGAAATGCTTTGGAAAACGCTAACGCTTTCGATTTTATTTTGTTATTTCTGACCGTCGAAGGTTTTCAAATACCTCACGCTCATTTTTTAATACCTATTGTTATTACCAATGCAAAAGAAAAAATTGGCACTTGAAAATCTCAGGCGGCTAGAAATAGCAAAATGAAATCGTAAGCGTTAACGTTTTGCAAAGCATTTCCGTTAGGCGAATTTCCCCCAGGTATGATGTTACTCTTTCCTTCTTCCAACTCAACTCCGCATGAGTTATTCCCATTTGCAACGACCACACCTAAGCAAACCTTGGCAATGAGTTGCCTAAGCTTCTTAAAACGACACTTTAGGTAAACTTTGATTTTCGACAACATAACATTGTCAAGTTAAGGCGTGACCAAGGGATATAGGAATTCATTATTAAACAAAGATTATTACACTTTGATTTCAGTCATGCAACAAGGAACAATGTCCCATGGTAAAGGAGCGACTGGTTCAACACCAAATAGAACATCACTCCAGCACTTCGCCGCACCATTGCCAACGCAAGAGCCAAACAGTATGTAACATAAGCTTTACATCAATAGATTGCAATAGGCGGTCTTTTTCCCCACCATGACAACCTCTGTGGTCGTCGTGGTGTGTCTGTCCTAGGTTAGAGAATCGCGTTGGAGCATATGTTTGTATGATAAATACGAGAATTATATAGACAAGTTTTTAAGATATCAAATACGAATTGCAATGTACTATTAATACTGCTAGCTTGAAGCAAAAGACTTATTCAGGGTGGTGATTTGGGCCCCATTTTTAACAACATGTCAAGTTACGTTTAATTAAATATTGATGTCGATTCTGGCATGATTCTCTAAAGCTAAACTTAAATTTGACAACAGTGCATCCCTGTCATTCTCTATACAGAATGAAAAGGAGAGACTGATGTTAAATTTAGTATTAAGTTTAGAGAATCACGCTAGAATTGACACCATTGTTTACTTTTTAACTTACAGACTTTACAACAGACGGAGCCTGAAAGCGGTAAGTTTTTAAATCTTTAAAGATTATAATTAGTCATAGCCATGGAAGTAGATATTACTATAACTACAAACCTTTTAATTTTGAAATTTCGTACTAATAAATCGCATTTGAGCGTCTCCGATGATCGCGACCGACCAACTTCTTTTTATTAACATAATGTTATTCTAGTTACTACATTTATATTAAGCTGTTAAAGTTACATTTATTTTTTTACAGTCTCAGTAGGAACCATAAATCACTTCGAGACTGCAGACGCTTACCTCAAAAAATCGGCAAGTTGAATTTATCCTATCTTGCTTTCCAACTGCGGCTTCGCCCGCGGCAACTAAACTAATAATCTCTAATATTACGCCTCGAGGGATAAAGTACTCGTATTACTACTACCTATATTTAATATTCTGAGTAATTTACCAACCTTTTTAGCTGACGTCACCCATTTATAATCTACCTCCATGTTAAAATCTTCGTCGAGTAGTTTTGCGATTTCGTGATCAGTGAGCGTATTAAAAAGTGCTAATAATATAAATGTGAAAGTGTGTCTTTCTGGCTTTCGGTCTGTCTGTCTGTTACCTCTTCACGCTTTATTCACTGAACCGATTTATATGAAGTTTGGTACAAATAGTTTAAGTCCTAGGCAAGGGCATAGTTTTTTTCCCAGAAATGGGGTGAAAAAGGCTTCGGAAGTTTGTTTCCGAACTAGCGTGGATAAAACAACGAAAGGGCGGGTTCCAGTGGGGAGTTTACCAGTAAGGTCCGCGAAACATAACGACGGAACTCTTTCGAACAATATTAACAATGCATCATAGCGCTCACGGCAAGTGAGAAATATTGGGTTTGCCGAATCTCTTTATCACGGCAGTTATAAATGAACCGGAGGCAGTAAGCCAGGATACGTTGCGCTTTTCGAGTGATGAATGGCAATCAATAAATCCAGCTCATATGATTATGAGCTATGATGCTCATATGATTATGAGCTGGACGAGGAAAGTATGGACGCATTGTTTGATAATAGCATGCAAATGAGGCCACTCAGTCCCCGTAGCATGATCACCTCAATTTACGTTATATCATGTTTTTTATCGCGTCTAACTGTCAACCTCCATAGTAATTTGACACTTGAGCGTGATAAAAACACGTAATATATCATATCGCGGTGCTCATGCTAGGGGGGCAGGAGCAGTTTAAACGAGCCAGGGGCCATGCCACCATAACTTATTGTTTATTATTAATGTAATAAGGGCAGCTGTTAACGGTAGTTGAGCAAATAGTAAAAAGTTATTTTTAATCTAACGTAGTCGTTTCTTACCCATGGTCCATCTTTAAAGTTCACCTGGGTGGACCCCGACGACTTGTCCTGGCCCTTGATTCAGCTGGGTGGACCACGGATATATTATTATCATTGAAAAATAATACCCCTATATGGTTTTTTTCATCCTTAATGTTCTCATTTCAGTTTCCCAATCATTAATCCGAAAAAGTACCAGGAGACCATATATGGCTAGGAGGTTCTTATTATGAAACAGTGAAAAAAAATCTTATTCAGAACCAGTTATTAAACAATAGTTTCTGGTGAAGCCGAATGCGATAAAACGATATCTGATGGGGTCGAAACCCCGGAGAGTGGACTGTAAGGCGATGGTTCGATAAGGCGGGTTTGGTCTATGGAATAGGATGAGGACAAAAACACTGTGGTTACTTGCGGAGGGCCTCGACGGTGGCGCTGGCCCATACGCCAGCTTCTCCTGCAGCAGTCTCTTCCTGATGCCAGCGGTTAAAGATGGCGGTCAGGAAAGTCGTTGTTGTTAGCTATCACACACAAAATCTCCTATTTTTGAGGAAATCTGTTTATTTAATTAAGATTGTTTATTAATCTTCACACACTTCTTTATCTGAGTTTAATGCGGAAAAATATAATCACAATAGCTGGCGGCGCGACTTTCTTTCTATCCATTTTTATAAACAGAACCTCCTAGCCATGTATGGTATTCTGGAACTTTTTCGAAATAATTGTATTTGAGTAGGAAACTGAAATGAGAACATTAGAGTTAAAACAACCCATAGGCGTATTATTTCGCAATGATAATATATCTGTGGTCCACCTAGGTGAACCAAAAGGGTCATAAGAACTCTCCGGAGTGCACCCAGGTGATCTTGTGAGGTGGACCACGGGTAATAAACAAACGTAGTTTGTACGTTATGCGTGATTGGCTAGAGTGGTAAATGTATTAGTTGTTATCGTACAAAAACTTAGATGCGAAAATATGCCAAATGTGAAATTCCTATCTAACGTAGTTGCACTTGTTGATGGATTCATCATACAGCCTCATAAATGATATTTACCTGAAAACTATATAATAATGCAATAAATCTGCTTAACAGGTTGCAACATCACCGAAACCATCGATTCTAAAGCGAGCCATCGTCCCAAAGCATTCAGAAAACCAATCCATGCAGACAACCCCGACCTTTATAGATTTCAGTCATCCAGCACAAAGCTATGTCAGCAGATTGACAAAAAATGATGTTCAAACGAATTTAAACTATAATGACTTAGACAAAACTGAAGAATTCATACCGACGGAAAACAAAATATCATTTACTACCAGTACTAACTGTGTTATGAAGGATGACCTGCGTAACGTTGTCATGAAATGGCACGAGGACATACCTGTGTACCCCAACTTTAGCCTCTCCGTAAAGAATTTAAGAAAAACTCTAATAAATGAATTCGTTGAGAAAATTTACTCACATATTAATGAAGAAAACACCGATGAAGAATACGAAAACAAAGTGAAATTAGAAATAGATGATTTACTAAATACTTTACCTATGTGGTATCCAGGTGCAAAGAAAGATCAAGAAATGTTAAAAGACAACATTAAAAATAATCTGATTATTAAAATAAAGGAATTGCGCAGTAGAGTTGATTACAAGAAAATAACGAATACGCAAATGGATGAGCGCGTTGGCAAAAATGGACATACAAACTTAACAAATCAGTTTCAAAATGAAAACGTAGTCAAGTTAATTGAAAATGAAATAATAGACTGGCTTATGCAAATTAAATTCAAAGAAAGTGAAGATATTGGAAGGACAATAAACATAATTGATACAACAGATATATTTGCGAAGCGTTTGATGCCATTATTAAATAAACCTGTGTGTACAAGAAACTATAAATTAATATTGAAAAGTGTCATAGTAGAAACTTTAAACAGCTTGCCGAATGTTTTCCAATATCCGAAGAATAAGAGACTTTACTTAAATCGTATAGCAGAAGAACTGACGAATAGACTTCTTTATATTCAAGTAAAATGCAAAGATTCAAGCAGCTGTCAATTTCTTAGGGACAGAAAGATGTATCAAATGACAGTTTCTAGCAACTCGGACATTAAGCTATCATCACTTAACAGGATGGATTGTTTTAATCCATATACGCTTGGTCCTCGCTTTCATATCATCGAAGATGTTACTGATATTTTAGCCGATTGTATTGAATCAATAAGCTTTGATGATATATACAAGGGGAATAATGCTAGTAACACAAGACAAAACTCAATTGAATCCTCAGAAACCCAAACTTCCATAGAAGTTAGCAATGCTATAGTCGAAAGCATTAGAGATGCTTTGACTGAGGATATTATTAACGATGCACAATATTCAAACAATAGTATCAGAAGGTCTTGTCTTACTAATGCAGTGTCAGTCTATAAATCTGAACAAGATTTGTCTAGGCGATCAAATTTTCCTGTTACCTCGACACCAAAGCGAAAAACTAACCAAACAGAAATAAACAAACAAAATCCAGAAGAAATAGCGTACAGCAAAACAATTTCTGATATTATAAGAGGATGGATGAAAACTCTACCAAAAAACTTTCATGATGATAAGAAATTCAAATATACCGTTATTATGGATTTAACTGGAGACATAGTTGATCAAATAAAAACGGAGCAATTAGTTCACCTAAGCGATATAGATAAGAATAAAATAATGTATTATACTATATTTAGATGGTTGTATCGATTTGACATATTTGAAGATAATTTATCTGAAGACATACCTCAGATAAGAGATCTAATAAATTGCTTAAGCCAAGTGCCAGTTCCCGATTTGACAAGACCAAGGCATGGAAACCGTCAAACAATGGCAAATGCTAAAATGAAAGAGTCGAAGCGCGATTTCTTTGTGCCCATGGGAACGGATGTTTTAAAAGATGAAATATCAATTTGGATAAATGAACATTCTAATATTAACTTAAAGGCAGACGTGTCTAACCGTAGTAGGATGGTAGAAGAATTAGCAAATTCATTACAAAATTGCTTGGTTAACAAAAGATCTGAAACCGAAATAAACAATGTCATTTCGAATTGGTTAAAAAAGACTATGAAGTCAACTGAAAAGGAAAACATTGACAAATTTACTGAAACTCTCAAGAATAGAATAGTGAAGCTACCTCAAGACGATACATTAGCTAAAAATCTTCATATTAAAATTTACAGAAAATTGGAGGCTGAAGCCAACGCCAACGCAGCCAACCCACGACAAGTCTCAATTATGACACATGACCTAGATGACGATAAAGATGAAACTATGAAAGAATTTATAGCAAAATATATGGAACATAATTACGATGTCGATGACACTATAGCACGGGGAGCATTTACTGAACTGTTAAAAACTGAAATACGAAAATTAAATCCACCAACAAGAAAAGAAGTGTACGACAAATTCACTAAGCCGCACGATGAATTATCTACAGATAGACTCGATAAAGAATTGCAATACATAAAGATTGTGTCCGACTGGCTTAAAAATATTCCTATCGATAATTCATTTAACACGCCTCATAATAGAAATAGGATTGAAATAGTTAATGATTTAGCAAGAAATATCTATGAAGTGGAGGAAGAAAGACGACGCGCTCCAACAGCTATGGATTATGATATGTACTTGGCATCAATCATAAGTCAATTTACAAACGTATTGCCTATACCACCCGAACACAAAGGAAATGTAATGTTCATGATTGATGAATTGATCGGTAGAATAGTATCGGACAGAACTCCTATAATATGTTGTCAACATCCAAATCAGTCCGATATCTCCAAGAATACAACTGGAATACAAGAACAAAATATAAGTGAATTTATTCATCATTATATTCATCTTAATGCTGGCGAGTTCGGTGATGATCAAATGAAATTGGACGCTTGGTCGTCTCGCTTGATGAAAGAAGTGAAGAAAATAATCCAGCAAACAGCAGATCCATCAACTCTATGTAAAACTCAAGTTTATAATAAACTAATTAATATACCTTTACCTGAACATGAATCTGTGAGACTTTTTGGTTTAGAATTAGGTTATGCAAAGGAAATATCAGATTGGCTTAAAAATTTACCTCTGCTCCCATTACAAACTCAGGAAGCAAATGATCAAAGAGTAAGTATGATAAGTGAATTAGCAGAAAAGTTTTCAGAATGGGACAGAAAGAAGATCACTGATCCTTCGAGCGCCCCCAGCAATACAAACATTGAAGAATTCATCACACAATGGATAAAAAGAATATCTCTTGAACCAAAAAAAGGAATCGATATTTCTATTCTTATACCACAACTCTTAAGAAGAATAGAAAATATTAATAAAGGCTCGGAAGTATCAACTTTAGAATCAACAAAGATAGAAAATCTTTCTCCTGTTAAACCGAATAAAAGTAAATTCAGAATAAATAAGTCTCGATCAAAAGCTCAAAAATGTAGGCCATCTTGCTGCGGTTTTGATAACAGTAAAGCTGGTCAAGTTATTGTGGATGCAATAGAAAACTGGAGCAATAGTCTGCCTTTACGAAGTCATAATAAATATAGTAATAAAAGTAGTAAAGACGATATCGCTAGAAAACTATATCAGAAAGTTGGAGACCTTAGTGTTGACCCCCAAATAATGAATGATGACAGTTTGTTTCAAGAACTTTTTGAAGATGAAGTGAACACCGTACTTAGTCATTTAGATCAAGATCCTAACATTCAAAAAAAGAAAGAAACTTTGAAAAATGATCTAATAGAGAAAGTCATGGAAGCTAAAAGCATTGTTCAAGAAGCTGTTGCTGGTGGAACTTATAAGCTACTTTTAGAAAATACGATCGAAGCGTCTATTCCTAATCCTAAATCGAACAAGCAATGGTATGATCCTGGTTTCGAAATTTACAAAAATCGTTTAGCAGATATGTTTATATTGGACAATTTTGATCACGGGAATGATGCTGTTAAAATGAAATACGAGAGAAAGATAAGGCACGAAGTAGATAAATATTTTGAAAGTGCACAGAATCGAAATGCTGCACCTATTGGAAAAGATGAAATATATAATGAGTTGTATAGTGCTCTCTTTAAAGTGAGGGTTCCTAATGAAGCATCAGCAGTAGCAGAAGTAGAAGAAGTGAAGACAAGGTGTGAAATAGACATATGGTTTGAAGGCTTACCAATCCGCGAACCCACGGATTTATCTGAACTCTTAGAGTGGGATAAAATTCTATCAATGCTAGCCAAAAGATTACATGCAATGGAAAAAAATGGGCAAAGTTCAGAAGGCAAAATGCATAAAGAAATAGCTAAATGGATCATTCGATTCCCTTTACTTGGAGGAGAAGAATACAACGTTGACAAGTTTGCTGAAGATTTACAAAATAGATTGAAGACTTCGAAAGAAGATAGGAAATATGTTACTAGTTCTTCTAAGGGTAAAGAAATTAAAAAAGTTGCAAAACGTAAAGGGTCATTTGGTAACAAAAGTCAGATACCGGGCCCAAGTAGCAAGGGTCAAATATGGAAAAGTAATAATGAATTGTCACAAACATGCTGTCAATTATCTGCAGACGCTCGAAAAAAACCAGCGGAACTTGTGCTAGAAACTGTCGAAACGTGGTGCGAAAGACTACCTCTACCTATTATAACTGCGCAAGATGAAATCAATAACAAAATAATAAGAGACAACCTACTTACTCAAATCATTATCAAAATATGTGCACTTAATGGTGATCCACAAACATTCAATGATGAAATACTATATCAATATTTTTTGGACGTTGAACTTGATAATTTGTTGACAAAAGTGCCAATTTGTTGTCAATTTGAAAATACAAAAAAATATAAGAAATCGCAGTTGATAGGAGCTATTCTACAGATTTTGCCTTTGATGAGGGAAGAAAAAGCCTGTTACGAATATAAAAAAGAGTTAAAAAGTATTATAAATACTGTTTTAGAAGAACCATTGGATACAACAGCTGAAAAAGTAGCATTATTTAATAAACTGAAGGATGAAATTGTTGAAAATTATGTCCAACTTCATTATTACAGAGATGATGACGAAGGCAAACAAATTTATAAAGCAAATTTGCATGAAATTGTATCTAAATATTTACAAAATATACGAGATAAATCAGATATCTCTTCAATGGATTCATTAATGAAACAGAATCAGTTAACATGTGAATTAGCCAAGGTTCCTATACCCTGCGAAAGGGTTATCAAAGATCAAGTAGAAGAAATCAGAATGAGAGAAGAAGTTCAAGAATTTTTCGATAGTTTGGCTTTACCTGAAGAATCGGAAGATAAAATTGCACTAAGAAATAATATTGCAACAAGTTTATCAAAGCGCCTTAAAGACATAGAGCAGGCTGGTCACAGTTGCGAAAATGACTCAAAAATGAAAAAGGAAATTGAGAGATGCATAAAGAAAATAAATTTGGAAGTCGCTCCTGAGAAAATCGAAGATTTTGTAAATACATTGAAAGATAATGAAGCGATAAGAAAAACTCCCCCTCATAAGACGTCTGCCTCACAAGTATTACCAAACCATTTGGATTCAAACCATTCTGATAAAAGGCCTAATACAGGACAAAACTCTAGTATGAAAGACTGGAGTAGCGACAAAAGAAGCTTGAATCCTCCGTCAGAATACAAAGAATTTGGAGGAGTCCACATTCCGACGAGTTCTTCGCTATCAAATCAGGAGGGGCAGCAATGTAACAATCAGATTTCTACAACAGTTCCCACAATAAAAACACCAGATGGTCACGAAAACTCCTTGAATCAACCACAAAGATACGCGCAAAGGCAGAATAACAAAAAACAAGGTCGCAACTCAGATGATGAAGCTGCCAATGAAGTGTGTAAATGTGAATCTAGGATAAAAAGCAGGCTCAGAGTGCGCCCTCGATGCGTCTTACGCCGAAAAGATTATTGTGAAGAATGCGATCAATTCGGATGGATACCAATGCCTTATCGAATGCCACTGCCCAGATGTTATTTTTATTAGAATAGTATTCCTCGATCACAAGTTTATAAACTTTGACTCGTCATCTTACTTTACACATAAATTTGTACCTTATTTAATTTAGAAGTTAAAGATATAAAAATCGATGTTATTGTGGATCTCCTCAAAATAGATTTATCATCGGGTTTTGAATCATTGTTTTAATTTTGTAGTAGAAGATACCTAAATCGACATTTTTATGGATTCCCTCAAAATTTATTAATTAGCGGGTTTCTGAAAACATTGTTTCTAGGATTAAGAACAAATTCCAAAGCAATGTGCGTTTCTCTTCAGTTCATCCAGATCATTTCTTAGATGGAGATAAGACTGGTTTAAAAATAATCGTATCGAGTAAATAAATATACATACGCGACTAGAATAAATTACCAAGTATTCTTGTTTGACAAATCTGGGTTTGCTAGTAACTAATATTATTTTGTTTTAAATTTTGCTAGCATATTACTCCTCTATCTCTGTTAAACTATCCTTGGACTTGTTGTTGGGGTTGGTTGTCTGAAAGACATCGCTTTCAGCGATAAGACCGCCTTTACCCACCATAGTTTAAATCTGTTTTTATAAACGCTTTTAAGTGTCGCCGCACACGGGCTACACGCCACAGCCACAAACGCCGCCACGAGAAGCTAGAAACGACTACTAAAGTGGCTGAAGCGCGCGACAGCGGCCGACTAAGGTAAGGGAGAGAGAAGAGTGGGGAATCGCGCGAGTGACGTGTGGCGGCGTTTTGTATCGGCACATTAAGTGGCCGGTGCGGGCCACAAGAAGCGAGCAACGACGATATGTAGCGTGTGGTAGCCACCGGCGGCGTACCGTGTGTGGCAGGTCCATATAAAATGTATGAAAACTACAAGAAATATGCTGGTGGCGGCGTTTTGTGGTTGTGGTCGGTGGCCCGTGTGCGACGACACTAATTGTGTATGTGTAAGTAATAAACAGTATATCTTTCTATCTCTCTAAAGGTTCTCTCAAATAAAACATGCAAGTAGATGATATAACTTTTCATATATTTTACTATCACAGAATAATCATTATTAACTTTTAACATTTTCATTGCTTTAAACTTGGAATTGTTATATTGTTTCCCCATTGAGTGAAAACTTGCACATGAACTTGAGGCTGATCATCTTCTTCCTGTTGATTCTTCTCGTGGCATTTCATATGGCGATTGAGTGAGGTCTTCTGTATGAAAGCGTTCCCGCACAAGAGGCATTTGTGGGGCTTCTCTCCCGTGTGAATCATGCGATGGTTGCGCATGTCCTTCCAAGCTCGGAATTTCTTTGGGCAATTATCGCAAGCGTATGGGCGCTCGTCTATAATAAGAAACATAGCTAATGAGAAAACAACGAACTAGTTTATTTTTAAATGTTAATCTGATAATAATTGGGACTAATTCTGAAACCTACCTTATCGTACCGACAGGATTGGTAAACAAAATGGTATGGTTATATGAAGCCACGATGCAAGTGATACTTTAAAAATCATTAATAAAAAAAACACGACAGAAGTGATAACTTAAACTATCCTTTTTTGAGCACAGGAGATTGGTAGGGGAAAAGGGGATTGGATGGTGTGAAGGGTATTCGAGGATAAAAGGGATTCGAGGGGGGTTAGGGGATTGGTCGGTGATAATAATGGATTGGTGGGTGATAGTGGGGTTTGATTGGTGATAATAGGGGATTGGTGGATGATAGTGGGGATTGGTGGGTGATAGTGGGGATTGGTGGATGATAGTGGGGATTGGTGGATGATAGTGGGGATTGATGGTTGAGACACGTTACGTAACGAAGCGGTTTACCCTCCCATAAGAAATTTACTTAAAAAAAGTTTTCCCTTGGCTGGGAATCGAACCCGGGCCGCCGTAAGCAGGTGAGCTTTCTACCACTGGACCACCAATACTTGTTATAAGCGGTCTTTTTGTAGTGAGGTACAAAAAAAGTACAAATGAACCACGTCAAAAATCAAAATATCTTTATTCAATTTGGATGCACAATACAACTCTTTGAAATGTCCATATTTTTTTTACGCAAGGAAAAAGCTCATGTTACGCGCAATGTGTGCATGACTCTAATGCCAGATTGTTTGAAAGCAGTTAATGTGTGTGTAGCTACGAGCATATCTACCATATGTAGTAGATATTTTTTGTGTCACTTCTGTGCAGTTAATACGGTATCTAGGGTGTAAATAATCAAGTATTTTCTATTTACCTGTATGTGTTCTGGTGTGCACAATCTGAAAGCTCTTGCATTTGAATGTTTTGTCGCAGTGCGGGCATGAGTACGGACGATCCGATGAATGCGACTTCATATGCTTGTATAGATCACCCTAGAAACATTCATACTATTCATTTTAATATTATGAATTAACGTGCCCTTGGGTTTATCTGTTAGGATGCAATATTTGTTTATGGTTAATAAACGAGTTGTCACAGCGACACTGAAATAACAAGATGGGTTTTATTAAAATAATATTTTAAGTATCCTTTTATCCAATTTCCAACTATATTTAACATTATCCGCATTAAATCTAAAGAAAAGTTTTACTAGAAAAAAAAAGCCTTGCAGCTTAACGCTAGGAAAATTTCGACGCGGCTAATAGGGCCGTGGTAGCATAATGGTCAGTGCATTCGCCCGGATTGCGAAGGATGCGGGTTCGAGTCCCGTCCGCTGCCTGGCCCGCGTGGATTTTTTTTTTCTAGTAAAACTTTTCTTTAGATTTAAACATCTAGCAGTTAAATGCTTAAAAATAAATAAAATCATAATTATCCGCATTAATTTGAGGAAAAAGGTTAAAGTGGGCCACCCTTTTTTATTTTAAACGCATTTAAATAAATAAATATTTCCAACACTCACACCAATTATCCTAGCCCCAAAGTAAGCACTGTAAGGCTTGTGTTATGGGATGCTAGGGTAACGGATAGAATACATATACTGTACCATGCTCTTATTCATCACACAAACATCTGCCCCCACCGGGATTCGAACCCGGGACTTCTAGAGTCGTCGACACCATGAAACCCGGCGTACGAACCACTCGACCACGGAGTTCGTCAAAAATTTTAAATTTAACTGCTAGGTGTTTAAATCTAAAGAAAATTTGATAGTCTGCTGCCTGGTCCGCGTGGAATATTGTCTTGTAATATTTTTTAATACAAAGGTTACATTAATGAATGCCAGTTTTGACAAGAAAGAGTTGCAAATGTAGATAGATAGATAAAACTTTATTCACACCAACATGCACACATACAAAATTGAATCCTAATTTTACAATTATATAAATCCTTTAAAAATATAACAAATTATATTTATACAATAATACTGATATTTTCTTTTTTTTTTTTTAATATTTTTTGTACACACACAATAAAATAAATAAAAGCAGGAACAAGAAATTTGTACAAGGGCACTGCTTATTTCATATTGAAATTTCTTCCAGCAGGCCCGCGAAAGGAAAAAACATAAAATAAAAGGTCGTCAGTGTGTGCCTCCTGAATAAAAATAACAAAATACAATACTTACATAAACAAAACCTACATATATATCTACATATACATACTAATAAACATATATACTAAATTGAAATATGCAAGTGTTAAAAGGAGAAGCAATACAGTTCGGAAACAGTGAGTCAAGAGGATAGATAGTGTTCCTTCAACCGTTTTTTAAATGTAGCAACAGTTGGACTGTCTCTGATTCCTGCTGGCAGCGAGTTCCATAAGCGGACGGCATGTACCGTGAAAGAGTATGATGCAAATTCGGTTTTATGAATAGGACATTTAAGGACCGATTTGAGATGAGACCTGCAAGGACCATTAGGCGAGTGGGTGAAAGAAAACCTCTCCCGAAGATAGGAAGGATAAGAAGGATTGTAAAGGATATTGAAGAAGAAACAAAGGATTCTGACATTCCTGCGCAGACGTATGGGGAGCCACTTTTCGTGTGCAGCAGCGATGCGAATGGGCGAAAACTCAGCGTAACATTTACTCCGAGAGTAAATCGCTGATTTTCAGTTCAGATGTCTTTTGTTTACATCAATAAAATTACGTTTAGGAGATTATTGCTTTCAAGTTTTGATGTGTCGAAACACAGGCTTGTATGTGCGTGAGCAATAATTCTGAGCGAGCAAACCCTTGCTCGCTCGGTAAATGGAAACATTAGAGCGAGGGGACGAATTCGTACACTTATGTTTGACTGGTTTTTGGATTGGGTGTAAATGGAAATATCCATGGAAAAGATGAAACGGCAAATGCGCCACGAGCGTCACACGACTATATATATAGTGATGGTTATATAATTAGAAACACTTCTAATGAATAAAGAAAGTATAACTTCAACGTACAATTTGTTCGTTAAAAAATATACACATTCATTTCATTCATATCCGTGACGACCTCCGTGGCCGAGTGATTTGTACGCCGGGTTTCATGGTGTCGCCGACTCGAGAGGTCCCGGGTTCGAATCCTGGTGGGGGCAGATGTTTGTGTGATGAATACGAGCATTTGTACTCCAGTCATGGATGTTTAATATGTATTTCTATATAGAAATATACTTATATATGTACAGTATATGTATTCTATCCGTTACTCTAGGATCCCATAACACAAGCCTTACAGTGCTTACTTTGGGGCTAGGCTAATTGGTGTGTGAGTGTTGGAAATATTTATTTATTCATATCATTCAATAATATAGCCACTCAAATAAAAAAAAAACTCTTTAAATGCATAAAAAGAACATAAAATGCAGGCGCGAAGGCAAACGAACACTTGCTTTAGGCATTTTATTTACCGAGCGAACAAATGTCTGTCTGTCTATAACCTCTTCACGCTTAAACTTTTGAATAGATTTAGATCAATTACTAACGCCAAAAGGTTTTATGATGGAATACTGAAATAATCTCTTATCTATTAGACAAGTCCGTCCGTCCCTCCGTGGTGCTGTTTCAGCGGCCAAACCGTAACAGATAGATATAGAGAATGTTTAAGTTATAAGTTAAGAATAGTCTGAAAGACTACAAACCGGATGTGAGTAACGTAGCACTTCCGGTTTTCGAGAAATCACGTGATTTCTATTTCAAACGAAACCACACAAAATCTACGAAGTTCTCAATTAATTAAATACATCTTTTTTTTTGGTGAACATTTGGTTCACTGGTTTGCTAGTTATATATTATTACTGATAAAGAGATAGAGCGAGTCCCATTAAAGGACAAAGGATAGTTTTTATCCCAGAATTCATCCCATGAGGGGTCGAAAAGGGGGGTGAAAAGGCGTATGAAAGTTTGGGACACAGTTACAGATTTTATCCGAGAATTCATCCTTGAGGGGATGAAAAGGGGGGTGAAAATTTGGAACAAAACATATTTTTTATCCCAGAATTCATCCTTTGAGGAGGTGAAATGGGGTGTGAAAGTTCGTAAAGGGAAACAATTTCTTAATGCAGACCAAGTCCCGCCTGTTTAAATATTATGTATCTTCTTACCTTTATATAGAACCTCATATCACACACTTCGCAGATTATATTCTTAATGCCCGTATGTCGTATAAGATGGCTCTTTAATGTGCCTTGCTGAGCAAACTTTTTACCACACTGCCCACAACCGTAGCTTTTTTCGTTGCTGTGAGTTTCTATATGTCTCTAAAACAACAATAACAATTTTATACTTAATTACTTACTAATTAATTTTTTAACAACTCCAAATATAATCTCTTATCTATCAGACAAGTCCGTCCGTCCGTCTGTGGTGCTGTTTCAGCGGCCAAACCGTAAGAGATAGATAAAGAGAATATTTAAGTTATAAGTTAAGAATAGTCTGATAAGACTACAACCCGGATTTGAGTAACGTAGCACTTCCGGTTTTCGAGAAATCACGAATTTCAAACGAAACCACACAAAATCTCCGAAGTTCTCAATTAATATTTTTTTTTTTAAATCAGGTTTTGGTGAACATTTGGTTCACTGGTTTGCTAGTAATCAATAATTGCTATTTATTCTTTCAAAATGCTTCATACTTGTAAAGGTATTTCGTTTGACATTGTGGGTTATCTACAATGCGAAGAAATGGCGCTGCCTTGCAGCCTTAGATATCATCATCATAATCAGCCGATGGACGTCCACTGCTGGACATAGGCCTCCTCTAGGGATCTCCGCCTTAGAAATACTAGAGGAAATTTGAAAGGGTCGCGATAGCATAATTGGTCAGTGCATCCACCCGGATAGCGAAGGGTGCTGGTTCGAGTCCCGTCTCCGGCCCGGAACGAGTGAAATTTTGATTTAAATCGAATTTTAAGAACCCTTCACAAGAAAAGTTTCCAAACAAACTTGCGCATTAGGAATTAAAGAGACAGTGCATTTTAGGATTTAGTTTTGTAGACGAATTAACATTTAGGCAATTACAATGTCTAGGCATACATGGGTAGACAATCTGCTTCCAGGGCCGCACCGTGAGTTTAGGGGGCCCTGGGCTAATAGTAATTAGGGGCCCACCTAATTACTCAAAGTATAGAAAAAAATGAAAGTAAACAATTTAATCTCAATTATAATATATTATGCCTTAGTGTTTGTTATAGAATCGTTAATAAATGGACAAATTACAAAGAAACCTTTCTACAAAGTGCAGAAATGGCAAATTCTTTAATTTGCTCCTCCCATTATAGGGGTAATATCAATCAATGGAGTTATATTCAACAATGTATTTTTAGGGCCCCTTGAATCCACGGGGCCCTGGGCGGAAGCCCAAAAAGCCATATGGTAGATCCGGCACTGTCTGCTTCTAGTCTAATAACGTGTTAAGCCAGGGTTGCCAACCGTACGAGAATTCTTGTACAAATACGAAATTTCTGTCTTCCGTACGAGGTACGAGAACACTACACATCTAGTACAACTATGTACGAGATTTTGTCAGATTAATTTTTAAAAAGATTTTTCATTCATGGCAACTTTTTGGAGCATGAACTGTAAGTATCCAAACTAGTCTCTGTTTGTTATAATTATTATTTTAAGAATTTAACTGCTAGACGTTTGAATGTAAAGGAAACGTTACTGGATAAACATTTGTTTACAGTCATTACATATGATTAGTTGACCTGTTGGCCTTTAATTTGATTTACCAATTCTAATTTACGATAAGCCAGATTACGAGAATTTTAGTTGCATGTATACGAGGAATTGCCGAATTGCCATATTTGCCGAAGAACCGATAACCGTTGGGGTAGACGAGTTCTGGAGTGGAGACCGCGTCTAGGCAAACGTAGTGTAGGACGTCCTCAGGCACGATGGAGTGACGATTTGCGCAAGGTGGCTGGCAGGAGCTGGATGCGAGTAGCCCAAGATCGATCTGAGTGGCGTGCATTTGGAGAGGTCTATGTCCAGCAGTGGACTATGATGGGCTGTTGATGATGATGATGATACGAGGAAAAAAAAACTACGGTTGGCAACCCTCTGCTAAGCATTTTTGCAGCAGTCATCTGGCATTTTAGGCACAGTGGTCATAAACGAAAAATCAGCCCCTAATGACTCTTCTTTATTTCATGATCGAATTTAATAACTACGGTAAAACCCGTTTAAGACGATTTCACAGGGACTCCAAAACCAAAAATGCGTCTTCAGCGGGAAAGCGTATTATGCGGAATATGGGAAAAAACGTACTACATATTAATAATGATTATATTCTATTATTATTTCGAATAAGTATCGAGATATTAAATGTACAATATTTAAGAATTATAAAAAAAATAGTGTATTATCATTACGTTATTTAAAATAATCACTTATTTTAGTGTGACAAAAATATTTTGAGGCATAAGCAACTACAAGATTATCAACATAATTTATGTTTTTATTTATTTTTAAGCATTTAACTGCTAGATGTTTAAATCTAAAGAAAAGTTTACTAGAAAAACATGCCTTGCAGACGAAAAGAAATTTCGACGCGGCGAATAGGGCCGTGGTAGCATAATGGTCAGTGCATTCGCCCGGATTGCGAAGGGTGCGGGTTCGAGTCCCGTCCGCTGCCTGGTCCGCATGGATTTTTTTCTAGTAAACTTTTCTTTAGATTTAAACATAATTTAACTTTTGCAATGCGTCTTCGCTTTGATTCAAAGGAGTTACATAGCGGCAGCATGATCACTTAGGGCCTCTTCTAGTGTGTTATCCAGAGGTAATATACGTGGTACGTGTTGACGGCATGACGAATCGTATTAATCGTTGTGTTATGAAAACATGTCTCAAGTTGCAGGGACTGACGCAAAATGGCGTTCATCATCATCATCATCAGCCTATTAATGTCCCCACTGCTGGGGCACAGGCCTTCCCTATCGATGGAATAGGGAGGTTGGGCCATGACCCACCACTCTGGCCCAGTGCGGATTGGTGGGTGCTAACGACTGCAGTTGCAACCGGCTTAACGCGCCTTCCGAAGCACGGAGGAGCTCGAGATAGTAAATTTTTGGTCACCCATCCAATGACCGACCACTGCGAAAGTTGCTTAACTTCAACGATCGCAGCCGAACGCGCTAACCACCCGCGCCATGCGAGAAATGTATTAAGCGTGATCGTATTAAACGGGTTCTACTGTATTAAGTAAAGAAAAGGAACTCCAACTCACCTTTAAATTGTAACTCTGCACGAAGTTAGCATCGCACAGGTGGCATGCGTAATTCTTCACTCCAGCATGTATCAGTTCATGATTCTTCAGTACATTCAAATACGCGAACCCCTTACCACAAAATTTGCACTGATATTTACGTACGTTGTTGTGAGAACGCATGTGACTGTGGAGGTTCTTGAAGTTTGCGAAGGTCTTGTCGCAGAAATCGCATTTGATGTCGGGCTAAAATTTAGTGAACTTTGGTATCATAAGTGTAATGGTATGGTATCATAATTGGAATGGTATGGTATCATAATTGGAATGGTATGGTATCATAATTAGAATGGTATGGTATCATAATGAGGGCTATCGCGTCTGAAACCGCCGCTAGAGGCGCTTGTGTTGCGTGAGGTCTCCGAAATGTCAAATGTTATAGCTTGCGGGTTGACTACGCGGTTTTTTTCTAATTAAAATAATAGTTGTGAATATTTGGTAATAAATCAGACTTATTATGGCAAATATGAGTTACGTGTCAATGATTGTCAGTTATTTAAAAGTGGAGCTAAGAAAAAATATTGTCCTTCTTTTTTCCGAACAAAACGGGACTGCGCAACACTGTGGCATGGGCGATTATGTTTAAGATACGATTCTTTTGTATTAAAATGTAAACTTTAATATCACGAGCGTGTTTACTAACTTTAAAAGTTACACTTCAGGACCTCACTCAACAGTGGCGCCATCTGGTGAGACAAAAAACGATAGCCCTCATTGGAATGGTATGGTTCATAATTGGAATGGTATGGTATCATAAGTGGAATGGTATGGTATCATAAGTGAAATGGTATGGTATTATAAATGAAATGATATGGTGTTATAAGTGAAATGGTATGGTGTCATAAGTCAAAATCAAAATCATTTATTCAGTCTAGGCTGTTACAAATCTACGGCGGGAGACCTTGTACTGTGAAGAACCGGCAAGAAATCAACAAGGACCAGGGTTGCCAGGTTGTCCCGATTTTAGAGATGATCGCCTGTTTTTCTCAAATGTCTCCTGTTCTTCTGTTTCTCCACATGAATCTACTGGTTTTCTTAGAATACTATTTTCTTGAATTGCGTGAAACGTTACGTAAAATGCGTCACTCCAGTCACCAGTGCTGTGCTTTTATTTGAGGAGCTGGAGAACAAAACGGTATAAAATTAAATTTTACAGGAGCTATTTGAAACTGAATGACATACCTACAGTGAGGTTTTGGCATGGTTTTTAATTTATAAGTTTAGTAATTTTAACATTGTTTTAGGCGGTTTTGATTGAAAATTATTTGAGATTCAAATTGAACGGGCTCGAAACCTCTGGACTGTAAAAAAAAATGTAGTTTGACCAGATGCGTTATTATACCATTTTGTGTTCGCCAGCTCCTCATTTGTAATTATGAAAAGTTATTTTCAATGTTTAAATAATACCTTATATTTATGTTTTTTTTTAAACATTTACCTGCTAGATGTTTAAATCTAAAGAAAAAATAAAATATAACTATAAATGCAATTACTTCTTTCAAATTTTTAATACTTGAAAAAGTATTCATTTGACATTGTGGGTTACCTGCAATGCCTTGCAGCTTAAAGATAGAATAATTTCGAAGCGGCCGCGGTAGCGTAATTGGTCAGTGCATTCGCCCGGATTGCGAAGGGTGCGGGTTCGAGTCCTGTCAGCTGCCTGGCCCGCATGGATTTTTTTCTATTAAAACCTTTCTTTAATACCTTTTATTGTTTTTGTGGATCATCCAATGTACTTTTTGGACAGGTTTCGGACACGATTTTGTTCGTGTTGTATTTTTATGTTAGGGTATTTAATATTTTTGGGTCAAGATAGCAATTTTGAAGGGTAATTAATAACTGTGACCGAGTGTATTTCCTTACCTTTTTACCAAAATGACTCCTCATATGTGCTTCAAAACTCTCATACTTCTGAAATGCTTTCTCACATCGGAGACATTTCATTCGGGTACTGGTTTTTGCTGTAGTTCTATATGCCTGTTTCTTTCTACAAAAACATTTGTAATTAATAGATAATACTAAATCATCCATACTCTATAGTTCTTTTAAAATCTTGTGTCACTTTGTTTGCAATTGAACTCCTAAGAAACAGCATCACCGAGTTTTATGATTGTTTTGTGTACATTTGGTAGGACTGACTAAGAATAGGTTGTAGGCTTAGGATAAGAATTGCATCCCCAAAATTTTATTTTAATATATTGTTCATGTTTATTAATTCAGTAACAAAAAAACTCTTATTGCATCATAAACTTTGCTGGGTCAGCTAGTTATATTATAAATTAGAATATAATTGTCCATCTGTTATGTTTTCATATTTAAGCAATTGAGCCAATTTTGATAAAATTTTATTTAGATATAAGGGGGTTATGAAGGGGGTGAGACAGATAAGGGATGAATTTGAAACGAAATTAATCATAAATAATTTTTAGACAATGTAAAAAGCATAGTTCACATTACTTGTCTTTTAAAAATTGTTGAACTGGTAAGATTATAGTGACAATGATAACAATGATAAAAAGCAGTTTGAAAATTGTCACTGCCACATATTCAATCCAGTACTAGATTGGCAGTCTACAGTTTATTCCAGTTGCCTGGAATGAAAAATAGAAAGTCAATCCAGTAACTGGATTGGATTACTCTCTGGAATGGTAAAAGATTACAGTAGTGCTGGCTCGCGTTATTCCAGTATAAAATAAGACTTTCAGCCCTAGATTCAATCACTGGACTGCAATGCCACTGGAAAAATGTGAACACACATTCAATCCAGTACTAGATTGGCATTCTACAGTCTATTCCAGTGGGGCTTCAATGAAAAGTGGAAAGTCAATCCAGTCACTGGACTGGATTACTCTCTGGAATGGAATTATTACAGTGCCGGCTCACATTATACCAATTTAAAATTAAGCTTTCAGCTCTGGACTGAATTGCTGGACTGCAATGCCACTGGAAAAATGTGAACACACATTCAATCCAGTACTAGATTGGCAGTCTACAGTCTATTCCAGTGGTGCTCCAATGAAAAGTAGAAAGTCAATCCAGTCACTGGACTGGATTACTCTCTGGAATGGAAACATTACAGAGCCGGCTCATATTATTCCAGTATAAAATTAAGCTTCCAGCTCTGGTCTGAATTGCTGGACTGCAATGCCACTGGAAAAATTTGAAGACACATTCAATCCAGTACTAGATTGGCAGTCTACAGTTTATTCCAGTCAATCCAGTCACTGTACTGGAATACTCTCTGGAATGGAAACATTACAGTGTGGGCTCACATTATTCCAGTATAAAATAAGGCTAAAGCAGCCCTGGACTGAATTGCTGGACTGCAATGCCACTGGGAAAATGTGAACTGGCTACAACTCGAAGTTACCTGGTAACCACAGGCTCACAATGAATGACTTCAGCTGAATTGCCATCTTCACTAGCACTTTGTTCTTCTATTTCTGCATTGCAATCTTTTTCATTGTCTTTTACTTGATTTTCATCTGTGCTCTGTAAACATTAACTTATACGTTAACATAATATATGTTAGAATAAATAAACCAATCCTGTAAATTATTTCTAGCAAAAAATTTTATATTGTATTCACTCATGTAAATTATTTGCTAATGGTGTCAATTCCGGCATGATTCTCTAAACTAAACTTAAATTTGACAACAGTGTATCTCTGTCATTCTCTATACAGACTGAAAAGGAGAGACTGATGTAAAATTTAGTTTTAAGTTTAGAGAATCTTGCCAGAATCGACACCAATATAATAAGCATTATTATTGTTATTAACCTTTGAATCTATGGAGACTTGCTGTTTCAGAATGTTATTGGACTTGATAGCCACTTCCTTGAAGAAAAATACTTTATTTAATGTTTCAAGGCATTTCTGACATATTTGTTTGGGTAAGTTGTCTGTTTTAGATACCTGAAAATAAAAAGCTTATTATACCATACCAAAAGTCAACACTCAATTTACTATAGTTACTAAAAAAGGCTTACTTCAACGGATGTACAGTATTTATACATTTCAGGAGTACAAACTAGAAACAAATCTTTGAAAGGACCAGAATCTGATAAACAAGCACGACATATTTTACTAAAATCAACAGAAGACTCCATAATACTATATGCAACTCAAAACTAACTACAGCGATAATAAAACATTTAAATCAAAGATATTAATTTGATTTCAGTACATTTAATTGGTACAAAGGTACTAAATTCTTGTTTGACATCAACAACAGAATAACAATCGACAACGACATCTTGGAAATAAGTTGCCATGCCAATGTCATTGTTATGTCAATTTTTACAGCTCATTTAGGGAAAAAGCCGCTGCATGGAGAGTGTAAAGAAAGCCAGAAAAATTTTAAGTGTCGTTGCGTGTCATGATTTTGGTGACGCATCGGTTTCATACATTTAGTTTGCCTCTAACCATAGTAAATTTAAGGAACCGATGTGCTTGTGGCTCCCTGCGACACGCCACTACACGTTAAACCGTGTATAAAATAAACCTCGTATAAACTGCTACGACACGTTAATATGTACAGGCCTTAAGAGTTTTTCTTAAGCCTTATCCATATTAACGTTTCATGGCGTGTCGTGTAGCGCCGGTACCATACATTTATTATCAGTTAGTGAGACGTTAGAGCGTCGACACGGAACGACACGTAAACATGTTTCTAACCATAGTAAATGAATGACACCGATGTGCTTCTATTGCGCTACGACACGCCACGACACTATAATATGCACAGGGCTTTATGGTGTTCCTTCGCGGGGAGCATTCGCCTCGTCGTAAATTACTGGCTCCCGGTAAATGTAGTGCGATACAACTAAGAATAGGACCGACTGGGCACCATATTGTGATGTCATAGCTGTCAATTCAAACCAAATAGGTAGAGTAAGCAAAAAAAAGTTTTTATTTAATAAAACTTATTTACTAAGATTAAGTGAGAAAAAGCAATGAGGAGCTCGATGGCGTCAGTGGTTAGCGCGTTCGGCTGCGGTCGTTGAGCAACGGTGAAGTTGAGCAACTTTCGCAGTGGTCGGTCATTGGATGGGTGACCGGAAATTTACTATCTCGAGCTCCTCCGTGCTTCGGAAGGCACGTTAAGTCGTTAGCACCCACCAACCCGCACTGGGCCCGCGTGGTGGGTCATGGCCCAATCTCCCTATTCCATCCATAGGGAAGGCCTGTGCCCCAGCAGTGGGGACATTAATAGGCTGATGATGATGAGAAAAAGCATCGGATTTTTTAATAACATTTATTTGCTAAGATTGAGAAAAAAAAACCACCGATTTTTAATAATATTCATTTATTAAGACTGTGAGAAAAAACATTAATCAGAATCTAGCTCTTCTATTCCGCTCATCTCTGCATTACCGCCGGAGTAGTTATTAATAATCATGCACTATTATTAAATCACATACGATCATGTAAACGAAAGTTTGAAATCAAGTTCCTGAACACAACTTAAAGTCACATTTGGTTGACGATTTAGGTTATCAACCATTCATGGCGAAAGCTTATTGAGCTGAGTGAAAATAAAATATCAACCGATATTAATTAACAATATTTGCTATGTTTGGTTTTTATTCTTGAAATAGCACAGTGCTAAAAAAGGGTTCTAAGATTTTTTTTGCAAACGTACTTTTCAAGCGATATTTGATAGCGATTTAGCGATTTATGGGCTTTCCTATTCTTATTTGAATCGCAATATACCTATATGTATAATACCTAGGCTGGCTGTTAAATATACTGCCTCCGTGACGAGCATTCGCCTCTTAGTGTAATATTTTAGATTCGATTTCGACGCAAAAATTGACACAGCTGATTTTACAATTTTACGTTGTGGTTGTATCAAAATTAACAACTGTCATTGAAGTACTGCTTCTGATATTACAATACAAACAATCGTTCCCAGTGAGGGAGCATTTGTCTGGGAGAACCTTTTTGAAGTTTTTTTGTTGTTTATGTTGGCTGTATGATCTATAACTCTGAAGCCGAATAAATCACATTTTAAAAACTCATTGAAATGACGCCATGACAGGTCACGTGATGTAAATTTTTGTTGGGCATGCGCGATATCGCTAGTTTTCGTGATTTTATAACGGTGAGACGTTTTCCGTAGTAAAACTATTGGATTTTAATTATTTGCTTTTATTTTCTTATGTTTAAAACTTTTAACGAAACGTGATTCCCGTATAAGTGTCTATGTGTTGTGCAAGGAAGTGTTTTTTATTGTAAAGGTCATATACTGAAAATGGAAATGTCCTCTCATTATGGTGTATTCCTGTCGAAATAATTCGTCATCTCGTAGCCTATCACGGATTCTGCAAGGAATTCAAGATACACACGGTAACATATCTGTAGTTTCATAATTTGAACCCATTATCTTTTGTAAAACCGTCAAGTTATTCGCACACTTTGATGCGTTTTGACAGATCTTTGTTAGTTAGCAACCTTTTTATTTTTCGATCCTCTGTTTCGAAACAATTTCTAATTGAAACAATTTCTTTGCCTTTCTAATCATTATATTTCTATTGCGGTGGATTGCCACTATTCGCCATTATTTTTCTCAAACAAGCCTCAATAGGTGTTATATTGATGACATCATGATCTCTAAACTGCTCATAATAATTATCCACAAATACTTTATTGTTGTTTAACTTTTATCCATTTCTTTATTTATCTTAGCAATGTTTACATTACACCAGCCAGGTGGAATGTCATTGTTGATATGAATGGAGGGAACTCAAAATTAATCTCAAGTATTTTAATATTACACAGATAGCATTTAATCTTATCAATCTTTAACAACTCTTGATAAGTTTTTTCTAATAATCTTTAATGGCGATTGCATTGTAGTTTACTATGAGGTAATCTTGTTTTTCAACACAATTTTGGACTTTATATACAGACTAATGAATTTTAATGAAAATACTATCTTCAGAACTTTGAAACCATGTTTCTTTTTGTGCAATGTACCAGTGGTACTGTACCAAATATTGTAATAATATTGTTAATTATAATTGTGAGGTGGCAGAATACCAGCATCAACTCAAAACTTGTCTGTCACATGCTGAGCCTCATACCTTTTTGTTTCAATTAATATTTACTTTAATTCTATTTGTTTATTGTACCAATTTTATATTGAAACAAATAATTTATTATAGTTATTATTAATATTAGGGCAACCAGCTTGACATACTTAATATTTAGCAATTTTTCTTGATTACAGCTCACTACAATATGCATTAATGAGTAGCACAAGAATTATGCACACCAAATCAATTAGGTATAGGTTCAAGACTTAGTATTGTTTGTACTTGTTGTTTAATTAATGTATTTTTATCACCAAGGCTTAGGGTTACCATCTGTCCGGATTAGTCCGGACTTTTGGACTGTTGCCCGTCCTCCAATCAATTGTCTGGATTATTTAACTTACATTCAATATGAATAATTAAAGTACATATTGATTTAAATACCATACCCTTGTAACTAAGTGAGTAATGGTACCATTTTGTGGCTAAAAAGTCCAGACTTTTTTCGAAATGTCAGGTCATCCCTCTGGCTAATAATGACATAATTAACCAAAAAAAAAAGTGGCTTCTTGGGAGTATGCCCTAGATTAACTTACTCCAAGGCTTTAACACATAAAAACTTTGTCATGAGGTAAAAGTCTGTAGTCTATACATGCAACGTTACTTCTATAATATCCTGATCTGATTGTTACAATTTTTTTTAAAGTACGGTTTAGGTAACAATGGTGTCGCTACTAGTAGACCTTACCCTAATCTATAATAAACTCTATGGTATACACCTTTTGTTGTACCGTTTATATCGGCAATACATTAGTGACACAGAGCACCTGGCAAAGTGACGATCTCCATGACTGAGTGGTTTTTATGCTGGGTTTCAAGTTGTCGCTAACTCGAGAGTTCCTGGGTTCTAATCCTGTTAGGGAGTGCCTAGTACCCTAGCTCAGTCCCCCTGAGGCGCGTCGTCCGGTCCACTCGTTGGGCCGGGCCTGCCCGGGGGCGTCCCAGTGAAGTGGCGCACGCTAAGGTGCGTCGATCCTGAGACGCCTCCATAGGGGCAGATGTTTGTGTGATGAATACGAGCATTTGTTCTCCAGTGTGATATGTATTTATGTATCAGTGTATGTATTTTGTCCGTTACCCAAGTATCCCATAATACAAGCCTACAGTGCTTACTTAGGGGCTAGGCTAATTGGAAGGTGTTGTTAATATTTTTTTTTTAAAAAGACAAGCTAGATTTAGAATCGTAATACAGAATGACAAGTAAGTGTTGATCTTTACAGTTAAGAATGCAATGTGCTATATATATCGACATCCCTTTCTAACTATGCTCAAGACTAGATCAAACACTAAGAATCTTTCTATAATTAGGACATTAACTATTATGTTTCTTATAAAATTAATTACCTTCAAGGGCATTATGTTTATTCAAATTGTGTCAAATAATGCTGTACATTTTACTCCTTTTATCAAATCTACAATACACTATGAAGATAAATAAATAATCTTTTTATTTGCAGTTTCATACAATAAGTGTTCTTAATATTGTGATGTTTCTTGATCAGATTTCTATAAATCAGTCAAAGGTTTGGTTTTCCATTTATATACTCAAATGTTTCATGAGAAAGTTTTCAAACATGCAAGCTAATTTTTCCTTTACTTTATTATGTGACTTTATTTAGAACACCAATTAGGTAATTTTTTTACATTGTCACTTGTTGAGTAAGCAGAATATTTTAAATATAAAGTCCACCATAAGATAGACTGCAACTAAAAAACTAACAACTTTTTACAAAATGTAAATAACATAATGGATAAATAAAAGGCTTTATTATTATTATTATTGTAAGATAGACCACCTTCTTTTTTATGCCTGATAAAAATACATACATTTTTACTTCACAATCCTACCACAGGATTTTTGTGTCTACATTTTCTGAGCCTAGGTTTTCAATATCAATGTTCATAAAATGGTTATTCACATTGATTCAACAGTCTGAGATAACATAGTGATGATGCCAGGCCAGCTCTGGAGGATAGATAAGTATGTTTTAAGGAAGTCATAAAAATTATATGAAGTCATTGGTGTTAAATTAAATATTCATTTAACAAGTTTTTATGACTTACTCTATTTACTGGATTGCGTTAGAGTTTATGGATACCAAGTCATATCTGTGCCGTTTTATCTTAACATGATTTTTACAAAAGAAACAATATTATGGTTTTTTTTATTCAGCAAAAAATTTTACGTACAAATTAAACTATAACTGCAACGCAGTTTGTCGGCAGAGTTCTCGTAGATACATTATTATATTTATAATCAGCAAACTATAATATAAAGCATTTTAACTTGGAAAAAAGGGAATGCAATCAACATTTTTATATTCTTTTGCTCTTAACATTATTAAATGTTAAAAACAGAGTGATATATTTGGCCTAACTAAAAGGTCACAAGTCACAATACAAGCTCTAATTAATTGGTACATCCTGTTCCGTAGCGTAACAGATTTTTTAATAAAGCAACACATATTGGAAGATTGTATTTTTTTCTTCTTTTTTATGTATTTATGGGGTAGGTGACAAACCGTATTTTCGTTCTGAGCCTACCACTGTGCCTTGTGTGTTGGTACGACTTTACGGCCGACGCCGGCACCAATGTGCGAGTAGTTCACTTCGAGTCCCCGACGTGTAAGCAGCTATCAACAGCTCTAAACGAATTTCCGTTACATCAAGTGAGAGTACCCATTTTCTCTGGAAGATATCGTGAACCTTCTGACCTGTGGACTCCTATGTGCGATACATTGCCGGCAATAGTTTCCCAAGAGCGTTGACGAACCCCGTTCTGAAGCCTAGCCCTAGGTACCCGTGGCGGTGTAAGGAGCGTTTGCGGTAAGTCGCCGAACCCCGGCTTTTATCATACATAAATTTCTTTGATCCGTTCGAACCGGATTGATATCTTCCAATTGTGTTGTTTTACAGTATTACGTACTTTCTACAACTTATTTTCAAATACGACAAATTCGAATCAGCCATCTTTGTTACGCAAAATGTCTGTCGAAGAATCGCCGTGTGAACAAGATTTGTTCGAAAGGGAACTCATCCTTGATGATTTAAAACGCACTCTCCAGTTCGCAGCGACAGATGTTCAACAATTTCGCTCGCGAACTACAGATTTAAATTCTCATCAACGTAAATTTAATAAAATACAGTCCAAAATTGAAAAAACCTACATGAAATTAAAAACATTTAACAAGGAGGAACAGATTAAGATTCGTAACGATTTTAACGATCTTTACTACGCCATTATTACGCATTTAAATAATTTAAAGATGATGGATGAGGAGCAGCGACGCATGAGTCGTCCGTTATTATCACCGTTAATTCAACCACAAGTTCATAGCAAAAATTTACCTACCTTGCCTTTGCCTAATTTCTATGGTGACCCTACCGATTGGCCATCATATTTTGATTTATTTCGTTCTTTAGTCCACCTGAACAATGCCTATACAGATGCGGAAAAATTTAGATATTTGTTACTCACGGTACATAAGGAACCGCACAATTTAATAAAGTCGATTCCTATCACGGACGAGAACTATTCAGTAGCCTTGGAAATATTGATATCGCGGTATGAGAATAGAAGGGTTATTGCCACTAAGCATCTCGACAAAATTCTCGATATTGAAACGTGCACTGATAAATCAACAAATAGTATACGTAATTTATTAAACGTTTACCAAGAAAATATCAAGGCATTGGAAATTATGCACTTTCCCGTGAAAGATTGGAGTTTTTTGTTACTTAGTATTTTATTACGTAAAATACCTATGCACATTCGAAAAAACTATGAACGTTCATTAACGAATTCATCCGACATTCCTAATGTTAACACATTGATTTCTTTCCTACAGCGAGAAATATCGGCGGACGAAATTATTAATTCCACTTGTGGGCAGTCGAATAATTTTGCCAATCCGCGCAGCCGTTCGAATCCTAACGACAAACCGTCACCGACGCAGGCGCCGCATGCGCATCGTTCATTCCGTTCGTTAGCTGCTAACATCAAATCAGT